GTAGCAATGGTTGCCCAACGTTCGCTAGGATCCTCCGATGCCCAGCCATCCACTAGTAAAATACAATAAGACAGTGGAGCTCCGACTGGTTCCCATGCCATCGACAGCAAGAGCAAGGTGATTTTCTTTTCTTTTAACATTTGCCTGTAAATCCGCTGGGACTAATATTAGGCTTATTCACAATATCGATGGCGTTAGTTAGTTCAAGCTCAGTATCGCCACTTTACTATCACAATCGTAGATTCATTTAACAATCTTCCCTTCAAGCTTTGACCAATCTATAAAGAAGTTCACTGCCCCATTCTTCGAAGCGTCTTCTTACCCATATCTCCGTAATAAGTATGAGAGAAGAGAAAAGACTGCCATATCTTAGTTCAGCGACTCTATAATCGAAATAATTAGTGACGACGTTGTTAAGTTATACGATGGTGAGAAACTCTCCCTTGACCAGGCGATCCACCGGCAACCGCGTTCGTCAAGTTTTTTCGTAGGTCGTTGACGGCAATAATCCATTTCCCATTAGGCCATTCCCATTTTTTATACTCTCGCAACCTGTTGCTACAGAGTATAATAGTTTTGTTCACCTAACGGTTGTTTGTATCACCTAAAACTAATCGAGTTAGCTATAAGGTTATATATATATAAATGATCAGGATGAAGAGACGTGTTGAAATCCGGGTGATTGTCTGTCCGTCCGTCCGCCTCTCCGTCCGTGCAAGCTCTAACTTGAGTAAAAATTGAGATATATTTATGAAACTTGGTAGACATGTTTCTTGGTATCGTGAGACGGTTGGTATTGCAGATGGGCGTAATTGGACCACTGCCACGCCCACAAAACGCCATAACTAAGCTCCGCAATAAGATACAAGACACAGGATCACATTAGGGAGGGGCATCTGCAGTTAAAATTTTTTTTTAAAGTGGGCGTGGTCCCGCCTCTAATAGGTTTAATGTGCATATCTCCTAAACCGCTAATGCTATAATAACAAAATTCACTGGAAGCAAATGTTTTTAGCACTTCTATTGACGGTGTGAAAATAGTTGAAATCGGGTGGCAACTCCGCCCACTCCCCATATAACGGTACTGTTAAAAACTACTAAAAGCGCGATAAATCAAGCCCTAAACACGCCAGAGACATTCAATTTTATCTCTGGGATGGTATGAGATGACTTTATTGGAACCGCGTTCAAAATGAGACAGTGGCGTGGCACAGCCCACTTTTAGGTGAAAACCGATATCTCGAGATCTGCTTAACCAATTTCAACAAAATACGGTATATAACGTTATTTTCATATTTCTATGTTATAGTGCGAAAATGGGCGAAATCGGACTACAACCACGCCTATTTCCCATATAACACCATTATAAATTCTAATTTATTCTTTCACTTTCCAGTATGCAAATCAAGCAACAATGATTGTATCGGGGTAAAACTTTGCGTGAATAATGCGTTTTAAGTATGCCACCTTGTGACCAAAAATTGTCTAAATCGAACCAAAACTGCTCAAGCCCCTAAGTATTAAATATGTGGACCCCAGTGCCTATAGTTGACCTTCTACCAAAAATATCAGTCAATCCACAAAGAAATCTCAAACGAGTATACTATTTGACTTTGCGAGAGTATAAAATGTTCGGTTACATCCGAACTTAGCCCTTCCTTACTTGTTTATAAATAAATGTGTGGTGAAGCAGATCAATCAGGATAACTAGATAAATAATATTCATCATAATTTAGTTCAAAACATACAATCGTAATAAATGATATAACACTATAACAGAATAATATGCAATATTAGAAAAATCACTATTCTTCCATTTTAATAGTATAGAATAATAAATACCATTGTTTTATAAACGTAAGAACTTAATATTCTTTATTTTCGTGCATTGACGTGTCGATGAGTAAAGAAGCGCGTGTCGTCAGAAATATATGTAGAGGATTGTAATTGTTTTTGTTATTTAATTAACGGCTTAATTCTTCGTTCATCGATAGACAGTCATTATATGTATATACATATATTTTCAATATTTACATTTGTATGATTAAATATTTGTATTTCCTCTTTTTTCAGGTAAGCAAACATCTTATCCTCCTATATTCTTATTACATTATTAAACAAATTGATTGAGAGCTATATGACAGCGTACAGTAAGTATACACAACATATATGTACATATATAATATCAGATTAACTATTAATTATTTCACAGTTATTATAATTAAAGAAATTTTGGAAATATCCTATACAAATTTAATTAAGTTGGCTCGACCATTATCAGTTTATAAACGCAAACTAACCTAAATTTCGTAGACGCTAATAATATAAAGTTCACGATTAAAATTATCAACCAATCAAACATAAACGTAAAATATACTACATTGACACTCACTTGTTCATTATTCTCTCGCAACATTTTGAACAGAGTATAATAATTTTCTTCATTTTGGGACTACAAGTCTTAACCACTTTAAAGAAATACTACTTGTAGATACTACATATTCCTATAAACACCGATCAAATACACATACACATATAGGTATGTATTGTACATGTAAAGCCACATGAAATAAAGGTAATAAAACGTGTTAATGGTGTATTCTAGTCTAGAGAAATGAATTTTATGTAATTTTTAAACTGTCGTAAAAAAAGGCAATCAATATTTTTTAATTATTTTTTAATTATTTATTAATGTTCCAAGAATACCAAAAAAAAAACTTAAATATTTAAAAAACTGGGAGATGATGAATGGGGGTCTCAAAGAATTGGCACATGAGCATACCCATGATTTCAACCCTCTAAGTCATCTGAAATGAAAAAAAAGGTTATCAATCTGCAATGTCGCAATTGTACGAACTATCGATAGGTAAAAAAATTTTTTTTGACAAAATGGCAACTGTTTGAAAAAAAATTTTTTTTTATTGTTATTTTTAGTTAAAATTGAAGTTTGGGGATGAGGCTATTTCATACTCGAGAGAGGTCTATAAAGAAGATTCTCTAAAAATTTGAAGTAAATCGGTCATTTGGAGGACGGATCAGTAAAATGTCTATATCCGAAAATAATTTAAATTTTAAAAAAATTTTCTCGTATACATATTCTTAAATAGTTAAACTTTGAAAATATGAAAAAAAATAGATTTTTTTTGAAATTCTACACTAGAATACCTCCTTAATATTGACGATTTGTTCAATGTTAATTCAGTCCTGTCAAAAGTATATATCCAAATTGCCAAATAGCTAATAAGCATTATGAAAAAAACATTATTTTCCGATTTCAAGGCATTTTGTGCTTCTTTAGCAATAAACTTTTCTCTCAGCATACTTCCGATTTATCTCTTATTGCAAAGTGAGTTCTAAGTTACTTAACTCCCATTTTATTATATACAAATATTACAAGTATATCTATATTTTAACAAACTTTCAACTTATGTACTAGATATTAATACAAAGTTTTAAGTGCTGACAGTTGTTTAAACTCAGGTAAAAGTGCATATTCCCCATTAATTAAAAAACCTTAAAATGATTTAGTGTTTTTAAAGAAGTCGAAAATACCATGTTACATATATGTACTTACGTAAAGGTCAAGATAATAGAATAATAGATTACACGCAGAAAGTATTTCTATAAAATGAGACTAATCAAAAAGAGAGTGTGTGTTTAGAAAGTTAAGTTAATATAACAATGGGCGCCGATTGTTTTTTTAAAGGACTATGTTTGTGAAAAAATATATATGGTAACAAAAGTACATTATTTAAAATTTCCTAAAAATAACAACATAATTATTTTTCTTTTCTTATAGTTTGTATAAATTTCATAGCAAACTAAAGTCTAAGTCTACTAAAGTAAAGTACTATATTTCAGATACGCAAAGCTTCTAAAATCACAGAATTTGTCTATCGGACTGTGGTGATTATAGTAGCAATGATCTTGTTGCAGTCCCGGGTAAAAAGGATATTGATAATTGAAAGATATATATATTTTTGTATACATATACATCTAGATCGAAAATAATATAAAAATAAATTACGCCCAGAAAGTGCCACTTTCATTTTATAATAGAAGTCCGAAAACCAAAAAGGAGATTCTAGTTTGAAATTTAAGTTAGTTCGCGGTTGTACTATAAAATAAAGTTATAATTGATGTTTTGCTTAAAAAGGGCGTGTGCAAAATTTCAGACATAACTAAATTGACGCAGCTTGTCACACTGATCTTTTATACATATACCATACTACCATAAGGTCTCCCACGTTTCCACAGAAGCCAAATGTTGTAAACATTGACTCTCCAATAATGCAGAATATATAATTGCGACTAGATATATAAAAAAACATAGAAAAATTTATCATTGTGGCATATTTTTCCCACATACAAGTAATTTGTCTTCTATTAATATTTTTTTAAATTATATTTAATGTCAGATCCTAATTATGGCTTTATATATTCGAATTCAAATACCTAAAAAAAATAGATATGTATATGATTACTGTTTTAATTTAGTTTATTATTACGTATGTAACTTCTGTGCATTTACATACTTAATAATAATCATTATTTATTAGCTTTCGATTAATCGATGTCATTAAGGCTAAGAAACCATGCACTATTAATACACAAAAACTGTCTTAAACACCGCAGTTTAGAAGTATATATATTATGCGCGCATCGATCCCAACCTTCAGTTATTTCGTGAAGCTCTTGTTTTTCGCATGTTACTCAATTTTATCAATTTTACAAGTACATATGTTAAGTGCGCATTGATCCAACCATCAGTTATTACGTGAAGTTCTTGTACTGCGCATGTCAGTTAGTTTGTGGTTTTGTAAAATTGTATCCATGTACGTGCTGAAACTGGAAATAAAAAATATATATTTAATATAATCCGTATAATTTCTATTAAATACGGCGGAGAATTTTTATAATATAAATACAGTCAATTTGTATTAGATTAATGTGTATTCCCGCCTTCTTTCTTTTTCGGGTTTTCTTCTTGCGCTAAACAGAATGGAAGATCTTGAGCGTCGCCAACAGAGAGAACGTGAAAAACATAAACGTCAGCAAGTGCAAAGTGTCGGCCGTGAGTATGCCCTCTTTCCTGAACCGCGAAGAGTGAACCCTTCCGAGGTAGATGACGATATCACCGCCAAACTGGGCGATCATTCTAAAGCCATTGAGTTTATGACTACGGAAGGAGTTGGTGTACAGCCATCCTCCAACAATGCCTTGCTGGCTAGTCATATACAAACAAGTGCCTCGTCCTCAGCTGGCGGCAATAATATCGGTAACGTCTCTATGTCCACCAATTTATTGTCTTCTTCGCATCGTTCGTTAGCTGGTCCAGCTGTTTCGCAGACTCTTCAGCAAACAACGCAACAAACTCATCACTACCAACAACCATTGCGTCAACAACCGTATCTAAAGCAGCCTGATAACAAGCCACCGTATAACGGACGGGGAAGTTATTCGGTTCAGTCGGTAAAAAATGACTTACGACCTAGCAGTGGAATGGCACCACCAAAAGGTCCTCCACCTTTGTTACCACCACCGTCTGGGGTTATAGGTGGCAACACTGGAAATAGCAGCAGTTTAAGTTCAACATCTTTGCTACCACCACCATCGAATGGGTATTTGGGACCTCCTAAATCGACAGCACCTCTACATAATGGACGGTTTCCTAAACCTTTGCCGGTAAGTTAAACATTTATTGTAATTTTGTTTTGAATAACTTTTTAAATATAATTTGCATATTTTTTAGAAGTCAATAAATGATATAATCTCTAAAGTGGATCAAACTTATCGCGCTCCTGAGCAAATTACTAAAATAGCCGCAACACCACGTACAAGTATTGCTGATTACAATCTGAATGGACCTAATCGCCACAAATATTCAGTTGGGCCGGTACAACCTATCTTAGGTTCGCCACCTTCCGGAGCAGAATTATTACAGAGCGCGGTTCCACTACCCATAACACCAATATCAGCTCTACCTGCAACCCCTAATCCTCAGATCATATCAAACACTTGTGGGATAACAACTATTAGTAGCGGTATGCCAACAATAATGTCTAGTGCTGTCACATCGGCTGCTATCGGAACAACGGCGTTAGGTTCACCGGTTGTGACGACAGCCGTTAGACAAGGACTTTTAATGTCTAAGGAGTCTTTAAAACCACTAATGGAACAAGTTGGACCAACGTTAGAAAAACAGAACTCTACGTAAGCATATCATATAGAAACGTCGCTGCATACATAAATGTAAATAAATATTTTCTAGGTTGGAAAACGATTTGGAGCTTTCAGAATCAGATGATGATCGTCGAAAACAGAGGTAAACATAATATATATCAATTTTTATGATGTTACAGTCAGGCTTAAAATAAAGTATATACATATATTCTTATCCAAAGAAATAATAACAAACTATTTTTATTTTCATATATGCAGTCGTTCAGTTCATAATTCCAGTGATAGTTCACCCTCAGATTCTAGCGAGTCTGGCAGTGAAGAATCTTCAAAGAGTGAAAACCATCGATCGTCACATTCGTCGCTTCAGCAACAGTCCTCGGCCCACAATCCAAAATCACTTACACAAAATTCACTTCAGCAACAGCAACAACAGCAGCCGCAACAAACGGCTCAATCAGTTGGACGTACAGTTGCAAATAAACTCTTAAATGATAAATCAAAGATTGTTGAACAACTTGTTGTTAGCCGTTCAAATATTTATCTAAACAGTAATGCACTGGGTTCGGCGGGCTCTTCCAGTTCGGGGCCGAGTTCAACGTCTTCGTCATCCAATAAAACTCCGTCTCCTTCAGATTCGAGTAAATGGAATTTAAGCCGATACTTTAGTAAAAAGCCTGCCCAAGCACAAAATGCCACTCCACCACCAGCAAATTCGCTGGTTGTAAATTCAATTAATGTAAGCATGGATGAACCGACTCTGTTACCAGGTGGGGCCCAAATAATACCTGAAGCTACACAATCCCAACCTAATCCCACGATCGTGAAGCACGAGAATAGCAGTTATGGAGTAGCGGTAAGCGGAATTATAATAATAACAAAACTTTTTAACTAGACCATTTTATTTTTATTACTTTTTAACAGAAAAAGTTCTCCTCTCGCAGTGACGGTGATGATGAAGAAAGTAATGGTCTTCGCAATTGCGATGCACGTAGCGTTGTAGTGAATTCAAGTGGAGTTAAAACACATATGAGTGGAGGTGTGCCTACGTTTATAAATGAAATAAAAAAAGAAGCTGATGTGCTTTATCCAAGCTCATTGAAAGCTAATTCCTCTGGTACAACACAGGCACATGTCCATGTCTCATCTCAGCAACAACAAACGCAGGTACCTCTGTTAAATGCTGCAGAATTTGTTGCGATACCAACGAGCCAAATAAAACACGAAGTTCCTGGCTTAACAACAGTAGCAACATCAACTGTTGCCCCAATGTCTTTGGCGGGTGGTACTACCACTGTCACACCTTACAACACTTCTACCATTAGTGGAAATGGACACAGGCGCACGCCTTCCGCATCGCCACATATGCGTACCAGTGTTACAGGTACGGCGAAGAGGCGTGTTGGCCAATTATCAGCACCATCCAGTGATGGACCTACATCGAACAGTAGTGATGATGAAGATGCACTGACAACATCTACAAGGTCTACCGTACCAACCTTGGGTCCAGGTGGCACGTTGAAAATACCTGGGGTACCCGCAGCTATCACAGCATTGCCGCCTTCAACGTTACAGCCATTGGCATCAGCGCCCACAGTTCCAAATTCAATAACGGTATTACCTATCAATCCTTTAACAAAGGCAGCACCTTTGCGTAAACGAAAGAAACCTCGGAATTCGGTAGCCACCATCACAACGCAATTAGACACTAGTGATGAAGAAGATGTGACATCAGATTTTAACAGTGGTGGTGTAACAGTAAGCCCAACTGAGTTGAGAGCAGTAACTGGTCCAGGAGGGAAACTGTACACTGAACCAACGCCGGTAGTGCCTGCAAAAAAAGGACCAGGCCGGCCACGGAAAACTGCTGGCAATGGAAGTGGAAAGAAAACCAATCCTACTTCAATTGTTATCGCTTCGAAAGGTCCCAAATTAACAGCTAGCAAGGATGTTAATAGTAGTGCTGTGGTTGCTAAAAAGGCCCCAACAAAAAGAGGAGCTTCTCGTCAAAATTCAAATTCGACTGGCATCATTCCGATGAAATCATACTCTCAAACTACACAACCGGGGGCACTATCATGCCCTCCAACCATTGATACATCCTCATCGGGTTCAACGTCGTATTCAACATCGAAATCCTCTAGTTCGTCTTCTTCGGAAACAGAATGTGAAGATGGGGTTATAAGCGGTTCATCATCCGGTGATAATAATAAAAATAAAGTCGCAGGTGCTACAAAAAACAAAACGTCAACATGCTCAGTCACAGCAAACATATTGCCTGCTTCTACTAGTCGCATTATAGTTCAATTGAACAGACGTAAATCTTCACATGGTGATGTCCCACCAGTTGCAATCTCCTCAGTAAGCACCAGTGGTTCGGCAAAAGTGACTAATAGTGGCAAGCGAAAGAGGTCAACGTCACATTTCACTCATGCCAAAGAGGAGGCTGATAGTGATGATGAATCATCAGATTCCGGATCTGGTTCGTACGGCAGTTCGGTCAGGAATTATAACGCAGGTACAACGACAACTAATTCCATAACACAAGGTGGCAATACCAGTGGTGGCAGTTCGCATCGCTCTCAGAATATGCAATCGCCATATAAAGTGCCCATTCCAGCGGCTCCTGAGTCTAGTTCGACTTTCAGCTCAAGTATCGTGTCATCCTCGTCATCGAGTAGCAGCAGTGGGGATGAAAATTTTGGTACAGAGTCTGGCGCATCGGTTAGTAATCGAGGTATAAGTAAGCACAGTAAAACTAATAGTAATAGTAAAGTTACTGCTAATACCAGCTGCAGTTCCAACAGTTCGCGACTGCGTCGTGACAAGAACAAAGCAGGCGATGCAAATAAGATTTTTACGCTTACGCGTATTTTTAATCCAAAAGAAGGCGGTGCGAAAAGGCAAGGTCAGGTGCTGGTCATCGACGAGCAGCAGAAACCAAAGTTGATATCTCCCAATGCCTCTGGATATAGAACTACAGTTTCCGCCAGCTCAACGTTATCTATTAGCCAAGAGAATCTCGTTGCAACCGCCACAGTTGTTAATTCACAATCACCTAGGCTAACTCCCGGGCATATGAAATCACCACGTGCTTTGCCTCAACTGGCAGCAGTCGGGTCGCATCGCACACCGGATCGTAGTAGTCGAAATAGTGCTGAACGTAAAGTGCAACAACAGCGCATTAGAACACCGTCTTGTACACCTACTCGCACACCACCTACGACCCGCACACCAACACCCACACCGGCATCACTACTATCGGCACCAACAGCATCACCTATAAGAACAACAGTAACGGTGTTGCCTAATGTCCCATCCCTTATATGTAAAGTTGATTTATCTCGACTTAAACGCATTTTACCAGAGTGGCGTACAAATACTTATCGACTTTCTAATACTAGTATATCCCGTTGTGCTCAACACGAAGCGATATTAAATGCTGATTTGCAAGCAACATCTGCCATTACTGGTTGTAGTGGAAGTGGCAACAGAACACCCACAACACCAAACTGTCCGCCAGAACGGGAATTATCGCATCCCAGGGAAAGTTTGGTTGGAATTGGTGTTAGCGGAAGCAAACAAAGACTGAACACAATGCATTCAAATGGCCGCCTGAGCAATCTTTCCACAGATGGTGGTGGCAGCGGTGATACAACCCCCAAACAGCAGCCTCAACTTACGCCAAATGGTTATAACTTAGTTACGAATGCATCAAATAGTTCACCCTCTACTAAGCAGTTATTAAAACATGAGCAATTAATCAAAAATGAACCAGGTTCTGAGTTAGAGAGTGTATCCATGGCGTCACAGCCTAAAGCTGACGCTTACTGCAGCGAAACTAAGTTTAAAACAAGCGGATCAGTTAAACAAGAGCTTCTACTACTTAAGCAGGACTGTAAGTCTGGTTTAACTCCACAAATTGCTTTTGTATCGGCTGATAAGGAAGATGATCGGCCTGATGTGTCACCAACTTCACAGCAAATGCGCGTACACGATATAATTGAGCCAAAATCGCAACGGCGCAAACGCAGCGCCAGCTCGAGCCCGTACAAAGACAAAAAGCGGAAAAAAGATAAAATAGACAAGTATTCCAAAGATGGTAAAGATATGAAGGAGGGGAAGGAAAGTGATGTCGGCAGTGGTCCATTATTAACAATACCAGATAAAGAGAAGGACGTTGGTAAATCGATAACTGCTTTGGGAGCTATTGAACGTGATATAGGAAGTAGCGCTATTGGTGGTGGACATGCTGGTGGAAATGACACGTGTCGACGTGCAATTGCTATAATTCCGCCACTTGGAATGAAGAACAATGGGCAAATGGAGGTAATATCACTAAATTTTCACTGTGGAATTTTATTTAATTGCGTGTTTTTTTATTCTTTAGAAGGATCATCAACTGGAAAATCGGGAATTAGCTCCTACCAACCACGATCGATTACTGGCGGTGCGACAAATGCAGCAACAACAGCATATTACTAATGTTGCGACCTCGAACGGCTCACAAAATCTAACGAACACCCAAACGCCAAGTAATAATTTAAATACAGCAACGACTGCAGATATTGCTGCTGGTAATATAGTGCCACCTGAAAATGTAAACGCTCCATTAGCACCACCACCGCAAGTAATATACCGATCATATTTTGAACGAGATGATGATGGGCTCTGTGATGATATTGGGTAAACATTTTATATATTTATATGTGATTGCATTTAATACATTTATATTTGTTTTTAGCAAAAATTCGAAATTTCTACAAGAAGCAGTTAAGAGAAAGCACGCGGCCGACAAGGAACAAAATCTATTCAATCAAGTAACACTGTATTTGGAGGCTGTTATATATTTTATTCTATCTGGAGCGGTACTAGAACAGCATCGTAATTCGGAGGACACCAGTTGGGTTATGTACAAGGATACACTAAATTTAATTAAGTGAGTAAAGTGTGCGATTTCTAAACATAAAATAAATTATTTAAAAATAATGTTATAGAGATTTCTCTAATAATAACTATGATATTTATCTATTAATTTTACCTTTTTATTCAGGTTTATTTCATCGAAAATTAAGCATTTGCAAGTTTCATCTACATCTAATGAACTCCATGAGCCGCACAACAAAGTTGCTATCTTAAGGTACATATATAAATTAATGAGTTATGTTTTTTTAATTTAACCTATTTTGCTTGTTTGTTTTAGTTTACGTTGCCAATCTCTAATCTCGCTAAAACTATATAAATTAAAACGAAACTATTGTCGAAATATAATCAACCATTGCGCTGATTTTTTAAAAAGTGGTCGGATGGAAATTCTTAATGGTAATACACCTTCATCTAACTCGCCATCGAACTCGGTTTGTTCACAGGTAAATCATATTAAACAGCGAAAATTTTAAAATAATAATAACCTCATTTTACTCTGTTTTCCAGGGCTCTGGTTCGAATACACCTCCCGGACGGGGTATGCGTCAAGATATTCATACTACATTAAGTCACCAAAATTTGTACTTCAATTACTTGGCTAACTGTCATGATTTATGGGATCAAGCGGACCGACTTGTACGGCAAGGAAACCATACTGGTAAGTGGTGTTCGTCGTTATTATAGATCTAAATTTTGTAACAGCTTTTTTTGTAATACACTTAATTTTTTATGTCAACAGATTTCTTCATCGCATTGGATCGTGAAAATGGACCTCTTACGCTACACACCTCCATGTATGATTTGTTTCGTTATATACAATCGGGTCTTAAGAAACTGAAAAGTGCGAATACCACCACCACGACGTCTGCCTCTGCTACAACTAATACTAGTGGATGCAGCGGTAGTGTGACTATAACCGACAATGCCTCAACGGCTTATGCTAATACTACTACCACACTTAATAACACCACACCCACCATCAACAAAAGCGGCAGCACCGTAAGTTCGCAACAACCGCAGTAGTGATGAAATTGGTGGTATATGCCTTTATAGATTTATACTTACTTGGGTGTATGTGCTGTTATTTTTTTCATTAAACATCCAAAAAACTTCTTCATCGGCGCATAAAAAGAACGTAGTTGCATTTCTTATTCTCTAACTTAGAATTTAGACATTAAAACGGATTTCGTGCTATATACACATACGTATATATGTTGAATTGGGACGAGTGAGTGGCAGGCAGATCTTTGCTTGTTGATCATGAAGTTCATTAGTAAAACAAAGTGTTACAGTTTATAATAATATTGTTTTTATTATTACATTATTATTGCTATTATACAATTAACCCAAAAAAATTTATCATCAACGCTTAATTTAAAAAAAAATGAAAAAATACAAATACCTGTTTTATTTTCTATTTACATGTAAAGAACTTATAATTTAACATCATGATTATTAGTTTATTTAAAGTTCTTTATTTTGCAAAGGTGTATATATAGAGGAAATTAATAAAAAATAATATTAAAAATATCACATGTTTTGTAAATATTTAGTTTGCGTAATGCAATGAAGCAAATGTTATTACAATCATTACTTTTACTGCTATTTAATCAATACCTATTTTAAATTATTTATAAAAGGGAATATAAACCACGGTTAGAAAGTTGGCGAAAATTTAAATTGTTTATTTTATTGCATGTAATTGTACTCAAATAAAAATTTTGAGGAATTTGTTAATTTTCATTTTTTACCATAAGAAATATATATAGTTAAATGATATATATTTTTCACATCACACACTTTTACGTTTTATTTTTTTTTATAGTTGAAACCCTCGGGTAACATTAAGATGGATTTAAAATTATTAATTTTTATTAAATGGTTGCTGGTCCTTGGGTCGCATGTGATAAATAAAAGAACACATTCATTTAAAGAAGAGTATGTTTACAAATTAGAACAAGCACGCTAAAAGTACTTCTTATTAGATCTGGCTAATCCATTATTATGGATTAATAATTTTTGCCAAACTATAGTTAATCTTATTTAAATATAAAAGACGTTAGCCTTTTGTTTATTTTGCTATCGCTCAAAATACCATATTTTTAAATGACATGTACGTACCGATATAAAAATATAAAATGATGATTAGTAAAAATAAATTTAAGTATGTTACCAACGTGCCTATGTGGTCCAGCAATCACAATATTTATTTAAATTAGAGAAATACAGAAATATATGAAATTAAGAAATAAAATTGCCAAAATAATTTACATGTTCTCATTAAATTTTGCGTTTTATTATTATTTTTATTAATATTGCTACAAGGAATGGTCTAGGCTACGAAGTTAGTTTCTATTACCAATTACTCTTCATTTCTGTCACGAATTTCAAAAGCAAAATCGTTAATGTGCAATAGATTTATATTTATTTTTTCAAAAAATTTTATAATTTAAAGGATATGCAAAAAGGCCTATGTCTGGTAGAACAGCTAATAACTTATTAATAGCATGTTTGATTACAGACGGCAACCAATAAAATATATAACTCTGTTATTTTGTTTATAGAGAAACCTTTTAACCTGTTTATTATTTTGATTCGGATATTTTACCTAAACACTTGCATAAACTTTACTAAAAATTAGTTAATAGTTAAAAATAAAAATAGTGAGGAAATAACGACTCATTCATTTATTACACATTTCGAGATTTTGTAATTAGTATTCAAAAAATAAACACAAAAAATGTATAATTAGTAAATAAAAATAAAATTAATCGGGATATAGAAAAAATACAATATACATTCATTATGATATATTTATAACGTAAACTAAAATTAAATTAAATAAATACAACCAGACTAACGAAATGAAGTTGAATGAATACATTGGATATTTGTGGGTTGCCTTCAATATAAGTATGAATGCCTACGAATATATTTAAATGCATTTATATCAAATGAATTTAAGTAAACAAAGGCATGTTTTTATTATTTTTTGGTTAATTTGTATAAAAAATATGCATAATACATATGTTTTTATACAATGGTAACTATTAAAGTATAAAATAAGAAACTATATTTGATTGACGAAGGGAAAAAGTTTAAAATTAATATAACGAAGAGAATATGTACAGCAAAAAATATTATAAAATACATACATACATATGTAAGAACGCTGAAAATGTGAACTTTACTTTTATTGTAGCAAACGCATCGCTAAAATAGGGAAACAATTTACGACAAAGCAACAACTCAAAAATATTCTTATACAGCATATGAAATGGACTATCCAAAGAGGTTCGCAATTAAGTTACCGTAATCAAATGATCCTATTCCCATATTAGAAAAGGTATTGCTCATTAAAAATTCCGTACCGGCGACAGTCGGTACAACGAAACTCGAACAGACCCGAATTTTTATCCGGCCAACTCGGCAGCATTCTACAAATATATTTGAAAAAAATTTTTATATCACAACAACAACAAGAACTGCGATATTAAAAAAATTAAGACATGCCAGTTATCGCTATTTTGTTTTAAAGGGAAACTATTTATGGCTTCTCTTTGTTGAAAGCTGAATACGTATTGTGCAAGACTGAAGCGAAATAGAGATTGACATGTATACATATTGGCTCAAGTTCTACGAGTATCCGAATATAATGAAAACTTACACAAGCTAAAATTCAGATGCGGTATCTGCCAAGCGAAAAAGGATCACAAAACTAAATCACAAATTTCATAGAATTCAATTTAATATTAGAATAGTAAAGAAAGAAGTGTAGATGATAATGAAGTAATCGAAAGGATGTTTGTTCTACTCGAAGAAAACTATAAATAATAGGGCTTTATATAAAAAATTGGCTATATCCAAATAGGTATAGTTAGAATCGAAAATGGAATTGAATAAATATATAACATGAATTCAATTTGTACTTTTGAATAAAAACTATGCAATGATATTTGAATTTAACAGCAATAAAGTATAACATAGGATAGAATAAATTAAGTTTAAAATATTAATTATTAGTAATTAGTAAAAATATGAAAAAATTGGTAAGATAATTTAAGTGGAAACCGTTAGTTCTTTTTAAGCAATTCATTCTAAACCAATCATTAGAAAGCAAATATAAGAACAACAATTGATGTTTAACAAACGTAGTTTTCTATAAACAAATAATTTAAGATATTCTAAAAGGAGAAAATACATATTTATATATAGGTATACTAAAAAGTTAGAAGGGAATAGATGTAGTATAAAAAACAACGGCAAATTTGTAGTTATATATGTTAGGAATAAAAAAAACTAAACAACCAAGCACCAAGTTAATTTTCTGCAAGAAATATAATTAGGAGTATTAATAATGAAATGCCAAGCGTATAATTTGGAAAGTACTCCATTGTAACAAAACAAATTTATAAATAATATTTATAACTTAGCCTTAGAAATGAACAACAATATATTTTTTGATAAATGAAAATAAAATTACGAATATTAAAATGTAATGAACATACCTTAAACCACTTTTTCAATACATAACACAAATATTTATTTCTATATTTTTGAGGTTAAGATATCTTAGAGATGTGGTTTATGAAATGTACACTCTTTGAAATAAACTTATCTCAGAATAGTTATAAACCAAAATGCAAGTTAATCGTTATTAATAAGTTGCATATGTATGTAGACATTTGGTTTAATTAAATTTACTTACCAAATGTAATTAAAAGTGGAATTAAGTTTGTAACAACCATTAAAAAATTATATATATGTATACATATTGCAGTAATTAAATAAAATGAACAGCAAGTACCAAAATATTACTAAGCAAATCTTGTATTTTGTACAAATATAAAATAAATAGCGAGAAACATTTGAAACAAAGGCAACAACAAAATTACACAACGGCTACAAAAAATATTATTACATATATACAAATTATAGAAAATAATTGTATCGTATATTATTAATATTATACTTCTTATAATTACTTACTTATTATACCTTAATTTTGTAAAGAAAAGGAAATGTAGGAGTAATGTGAAAATAAAAGATTAACTGAATACAAAACACATATGACAACAACAAAATCAACGTTCGTTTAATGCAGAAGTAGTTGTTTTATCAAAAAATGAACAATACAAAAATGCGAAACACTGAAATAAAGAAAATAAAATATGAAAGAATAACTGAAATTCATAACATTCAATAAAAATATGACAACTTTATTCAAAATCTTCAAGGTTTTTGTTTTTCATATACAATGATTTTTTCACTTAATTGTGAATTGTGAGACCTTTTATTTGGTTATCATTCATTTATAATGTTATAATAAAATTACAAGTACTTGTATAATGAAGGTAGTGAAATCAGAGAACTTAGAAGAACATTACGTTCTCTGGTAGACATACAGAGATATGTACCTACATATCTGCGATTCAAAAAATGAATTTCTGAAATGCGCTGTTTTCCCTAATAGTCATAGTTGGTAACGCAATATAAGCAGAAGGTCAAAAGGTAGTTGGCAACACATAATGAAAAATACGTTATATGTGCAAGGTCGCGTGATTATTCGACAATTTTACATTTTCAGTGGAATCAGGAATAAAGTGAAGGCGCCAAAATGTGTTAAGATAAATGGTATATATAAAATTACTCTAGAATTGCTCGGAAAAATGATAACAAACGCAATGTAATTGAAGTTAATAGCTAAATTTCGCAAATATTAATGATTGGAAAACGAAGAGTTGTTCAGTTTATATTACTTAAGTATTCAAATACTTTAGATTATTCAGTTTGGTTTATAATCGAATATAAAGTTTTTGGTAGGATTTGAAAGCTTTGACTAAAACTTACAAAATTTTGAGCCCATAACTAAGTTCATTATAACCAACGATGGATTCCGAGTGACCAATTTTACTTGACTCGAATGGAAATTAAACCAGTAAGAACTGGATGAACTCGGGACATAATTTTGGTAATGGTAAAATTTACATTAATTTAAATCACCCTCAAGTTAATTACATTTACTTCTCTCGATAATTGCATCGTCATCTTTCGTTGCCGTTTCTTCAATTTCAACTATTTTTAATGAAAGGAATCAGATGTAAACAATGTGACCAGTAAGTTGCAGACCCAAGATTCAAGGATTTTTATATCATAAATGTCAACGGTGCATTTCCAAGAAAAACAAAAATAGATCAACCACTTCCGGCTGCATTGTTGCATTTGCAGCGTATCCGTTTACCGGCACGAAAAGTACTTGGTTTCTGCGGTGTTTAAAATTGTACATGTCACGCAATCTTCTGCATCGTTTATAAATTCCTACATATCTATTCAATTAAACGATGAAAAAAGTCTCAACAAATCCACATTCTAGTGCTTTTGATGTTTGGAAAATCTGATCCTAATTAAAATAATTTTATTCGCACAAAAAAAAAAAATATGGGGACTAACAATGAATGGAGACAACGGTAAGGTGAGTAGAAATTCTTAAATAAAACTTAAATCACACCATACCTATATGCACAAATCTACACGTTCTTTGGTTTTTGAAAAGTATAGAAATTCATCAAAGGAGAACCTGTAAATTAATATTAATATTTATATTATATATTAGTGTGAATATGCCAATAGTTGGGTTAAATAATTATATGATTTATTAAAACCACATACCACAATACAACATTTTAGTTTAGTTAATTATTTCTAATGCAATATAAGTGGGCGCATTGTGTTTATGGAATTGAGACCTGCGATGAGAAGACGATTGCAAAGTTCAATGGTCTTTTGACATAAATGGTGTCAAGTTGAGCCAGGACCAAACGGACAAACCAGCTACGAATGAAAACGAAGCAATACTCCACTCACACGTGCTTACCAACCCTTTAGCTCCTGCATCGACTTTATAAATATTTATGTATATGTGTATGCCATATAACATAGGTATTTAGATATTTTCCATATCTGTAAGTATTTTTCTGTAGTATTGCTGACTGCCATCCAAAGTTTTGTAAATTGTTATTAATATTTGTTTTTATTTTCGTGCATAACATATTATACATATATATGTTTATATACTACAAATAAATGCACATATGAACATATATATAAGTATATAAGCGTTTGTATATTCATGTACATATGTATCCATATATATAAATATACAACTTGTATATTTAACGCAGTGTATCACATGCATTGCTCTCGTGAAATACCGTTATATAGAAATATAAGTATATATAGATTTTTGTGTGTATATACCTTTAAAACATTTTCAGTTGTTGACAATGTTCTCCGGTTTGTGTTGTTGTGAACCTACCACAACAAAATTACTCCTGCACTTGTACCAGCAAGAGAAAATTACTATTGCAGTTCCTTATTGTACGATGTGCATGCATATATGCATGTGTTAGTGTGTTGAATCCGTGCTGAAAAGGTATAAAATTTGTGGTTTAGTATAAATAGTATCGTACATCTTTTGTGATTGTTAGGAATATGACCAATCAAGGGTAGTGCGCAGATGGTACATACAAAAGTGTAAGGTGTTTATCTCCCAACCAACTGTAGTAATTTTATAGTTTCTTAAACGTAAACATATGGTCATTTATTCCTAATACACAATATATACTTTGTTTATCAAATTATTTTATTCAAAATAAAAATCTTTGATTGTACATTTTGTTTAAACTGTACAGACTAGTATATCAACTTTGCCCACTGTCTGCTTCTATATATTTTTTGTGCTATGTGCATACTCCATGAACTCCTTTTCATGTGTCCTGTTGCCTTCTTGTTTTCCCACCTCCTACTCTGAGTTTCCTCGTTGATGATGCTTTCATGTTCGGTATATGCATTTTTATCCTGAAAGCAGTAAGCGGTCGCCTTTAATCATTTAGTTCTTGCACTCTCCAACAGCAAGTTGTGTTTCTCTGTACGCGATTTTGGTTGTATTAAATCAAGTAGGATGTGTATTCTTTAAAAAGAAATGAAATGAGAAATTATAGAAAGTATATATAGTAGTTACTATTTCACAACAATTTGAGCATTATGTATGAATATTAAAGTTTCGAAAATAATTGAAGTTTCCAACATCGGACACGGAAGGTGTACTTACCAAAAACTGTGATTAGAAGCCATATTAATAAATTAAATGAGTGTTTCTTAAAGTTGTATGACAACTTTTACAATGAATTAAAAAAGTAATTGAGAGTAATCTTGCATTAATATATTATCATAGTACTTTTAAAACATGTTTATTTTTAGTAAAAGCTTATACATTAAATGGTTAAATATTAAGGGCGTTTTCTGCACTTTGCAATAATCGCAATTGATTTTCCGCAAAAATTTGAATTTCCCCATTGTAAAATGCATTCACCAAAACCAATTATACTAATGCATTAATGCATACATGTATTGATGTGAATGTATATGTTATTAGAAATAAAGTCTGCTCGGTAATTTATTTTTTTATTATTTAAAATATGCACGATTGTGACTATTTCAACTAAATTCAACATTTCCTGCCTCTCATCCGACGCCTTTCTGCGTGGATAACTCGCTTTATTCTCTTTTGCAATTTGATGCAACTGCATTATTATAAAGAGCTAATGTTTATACTAATAAATTGTCGAGCTTCCAGAATTTGCAGCTGATTGTAATTACTATGACCTACCCGTCCATGCCAACTCTGCAGATAAAGCACGATTTTAGGCGTTGAAGAGGACAAATTCGATCGTTCATATACATTCATTAGTAGCAAAATCAACAGAATGCATTGAACAGCTGCTGGTGGCTTATAATTTATGTGTCTTTATTTTGATAACATTGCCGCACCCTAAAAATTGCAATCGGTAATATCAGAAAAGCTATTAGGAGACTAGTTATATGGTAATTTTGTTCCTTTTGCAATTGTAATTTTTACCTGGTTTTTAGAAAAGAGTATACATTTTACTTTAATTCTTACAAATAAAGCTATGAATTAACTGTGTGTATGTATGTATAGACATACACATATGATTGCAATTATTTACTTTTAGGTAGCCGAAAGTAAAATATTAGATTTAATAAAATATTAATATAATTTCTTAAATATAAGAACTTGCAGTGATGATAGCATACAGTCGTATCTGTTTGTGATATAAATACAAGTGGGTGGGGTCGGTGTATAAATCTGAACGAATTATTTTGATATATATAATGTGAATTGCTTTACATAAATAGAGGGTGTATTCGTATAACTATTTTAACCTTACTGTTGTGGTTTTAGCGGTATAAAATATTTATGAATGGTTTTGATGAATACTTCTAACTTACTGCATGTTTATTTCTTACCAGTAAAGAAAAAATACTGACGAAAAGGACGTGTACGATAATAATAATAATTCATTAATATTTTTATATTTTCATACGTTATTTAGCTAATTCACAATGCTAATTATCTTTTATGGAGTGTATTTTTGATTGTAATTCGTTGTGTAAGCTTTTCTTGCCTCGGTCGACATTGATATAATTTTTTTGTGTGGCTACAAACCTTCGCTTATAATCCGTATTGTTTACATAGGCAATTTATGCTTTTTTTATATGTATATACATAACTATATACATAAATATATTTATATTGTATATTTATATTGTATATATTTATGTTAAGAATGGGAAGAACTTTACAAAGAGGTAAAAAACATAAGAACATTACAAAGAGGATAAAAAATGTAATAAATTGTAATGGTTCATGTGTATATATGAAGGTATACAATGGAAATAATGTTTTCCGATTGGCACGATTTGAATCTAAATTTATAAATGAATAAATAGCTTTTTCACAACTTTAATTTATATTTTTTTGTTTATCTGATGACAACTTTATATTAGTACCAACTGATTGCATTGTGTATATTGGTATTTGTGTGAAAGAGTACTTTATATAGAATATACTAGTTTGAAGGTATAGACGATTTGATTTTAATTTCGAGAAAACTTATTTATTTCTTATTTAGCTGGATTTAAGATAATCTCTAATACGATCCAATTGGAAAGTGTATCTGAATTTATTAGTACTTTTCAAGCTAAGCGTACTTAAATAACCTCGACGTAATTTTGTATTATTAATTAGCAAAACAAATTCATATCCATCAATACCCTTTATTTCTTCAGTTACAGCTGTAAATGCTGTTGTTGTAGTGGCAAAAAATTTTCACCTCTTCATTTTGGGGTATGCTGAAGAATTGAATTGGCTGATAAAAGTCCTGGTGCGTTCTGATTTTGTAGGCCCGATAGGCGTGGAAACAGATAACAAAATAATTAGTATTCAAGTATATCAGTATCAAACCGTTAATATTATTATTTACTTTACTGTTTTTTTAACTATTGAGTAAATCAGTACGAAAAATATGTGGATACACATGTTTAATCAAATATTGTATGACGGTATATTGTATTTCCATAATACAACAAAGAAGTATTTAGTTTTTTTATTCAGCAACTGAAGTAGAACCAACAATAAGGCTTTTTTGAAATCGATTTAAAAATATAAATAACAAAAATTTTTTGTTTGAGGGAACTCGTTCTATATGTTTAATATACAGAAAGGGCAAATTTATATGGTACTTAATTTTGGAATGTATGTATGGCTCATAAGCAAAGGTAGCTTCATGCTACGCACATTAAGAATATTCGATAAAAGCGAAACTCCACTATAAGACGACTTTCTTCCTAGTTTTTCTGAAAAAAGCGCATATGCCGGCTGCTTGCTGCATAGTATACGTGTATTTAGTACATTTTTGGTCCATTCTATTATACCGTATTAGACTATTTGAGTTATCATTATTATATTATCATACATTTTAAGTTATCTAAGCATGTGTTTGGTTCGATCTTAAAAATAATTTTTATATTGAGTTATTGTTGTTTTTGTTATAGCGGATGTCTAAACCCTGTTTTAGATGAAAGCTAAAATTAGTAGTCATCGAAATCACCCAAGAAGGGGGGGAAGTCCAGGAAACGTGCTGTTTGTATATAATTTGCACTAATTAAATTGTAATATATTTTTTATCTTTTAATTTGTATACAGTTGTTGTTTTTTCTTCTATATATGGATTCCTTCTCTCTCATCTCTTAATTTCGAATATTAAAATTTCTTTGAAGCCTGCGCAGTAATAATTATACTTACCACTAGTTCAATGACTCTCACCCTACACTCGTTACAATATTACATGAATACCTACACAATCTCTCACGCAAACTCGCTACAATACTTTTGTTGAATTTCTCTGCAATGTCTATAAAAATATGTTTAAAAGTTTTCATTAGGGGCCTTTAGTTTATTTCCGTTCAGTTGAGTTGAAGGAAGGAACGTATTCTTTTCTACTTTCAGTTGATTTTTCCTTAATTTCATTTGCGTTTGTGTTCTACATTTTCATTTTGTACTTCGGTTCGGTTTTTATAAAAAACAATGCAATAAATCAATATTAAACATTAAAGGAAATTATTAATTAAAAAATTCGTTTACTTAAATTATTTCCCGTTCCTAATCAGTTTTGTGAAAACGTTTTTATGAAAATCAATGGTATATATAGCAAAAAAATAATTTCTTCCCTATGTATAAAATAATAATTTACACTTTTTAAAATCAACATGTTCATTATTTTAAAATCCATCTACATTATTTAATACTACGAAATGTGTTTTGCACTACAACGGATATTCTATTCATGGCTAATGTGTTTCGTAATCGGAAAAATTTAGTACCAAATTCATCTTTTGAAAGCGAAAAATTGCGAAAATAATTTTTGCTATGCACATTTATTCAGTTTTTCAGTTTTCCGCTACCCAATTGTGATTCTATATAGTATATATTATATGATGAAATTACTACTACTACTACTACTCAAATTGGATTAAAAGAAAACTAAATAAGGGGAATATAAAATTTGTATGTGCATGGATAATAGAGAAGATTATTATTATTATTAGTTGAAAATAATTATATTAAAATATTTTTGTTATAAAATATTATACATATTTATGTATCTACTAAAATGGAAACCCAAATTATTAGCAGAATATGCGATCGATGTGTGCATATGATATTGCATTTATATTTGTCTAAATAGTCCAAAGACTATATTGAAATACATCAGGACTGCAACAAATGTAGTATTTTACCGCCGAAAATGTTAGAATCGGCTAAAAATATGCGTGTATTGTATATCCATAAATATCCACAAGTCAATATATATCAACATATTTGTGTATATATACGAATATAGTTGACTAGAAATGGCTTCTCGTAATTGAGGGAATTGCTACGCCATCATTTGCTACAAGCATTGCAGACGAGCAATAAATATTGCTCTTGCTCTAAACTTATAAGCAAAGTTATTACCGTTATTGTTCAGTCATTACCAATACATATCTACTTTCTCATAACCCCTAATATTGGGGTATTCAGGATTCAGCTGCCATTGTAGCCATTGACAAAAACTGAAATTGAAATCAATCTTCTTTACTTAGTTAAGTTTATCATCCAATCGACCACTGATATTTTTAAACTGCCACGCTCGACGGCTAGTCATACTTCCGAGTTTATTTATATATTTTAAAGTGGTTTTTAAAAATATTATTTTTTAAGAGTAATTTTATTTTTTTTATGCATTTTTATATCCCGTGTATAGTTTTGAGTATAAACGATTAATTTCTTTTCATAATGAAGGAAAAGGTTATTTGATATTTGAGGACCCAAACATATATATATGGTTAGTTTGATAAGATAAAAAATCGGTCACGTTTGTTCAGACTGTTGATTTCATCAAACAGAACAACAGGCTGTCAATGCAAATATCCCAGTAGATGACCAACCAAAAATTGTAGAGAGATATACAAAATCACATTGGATAACCTTTTAATTTCGGTTTATATTATAAAAAAAACAAGAAAAAACGTTAACTTCGGTTGCACCGAAGCTAGAATACTCTTCACACATACAACATATTCATTACAAGAACTTGTATGTTTGTAAGGCAGCTACATGCTATAGCGGTTCATTACAAAAATTTCCTCTTTTAGCGATAATTAGAAAACCATGTATAATTTTGATGCAGTAAATACTAACGCACTATGCAGGAATAGAGTTGAAATTACTTATAAAATATAGTTTACTTACATTAGCCCAATAAAAAACAAAAATATTTATTTATTTACTATTTGCTACGATATTTTATATTCTAATGAATATTCGTAAATCTATTATATAAATTAGTAGGTTTTATTGTACCAGTCTTATGCTAATTTTGAAATTTGAAAAATTAAATAGACAAAGGTAGATTGCAAATAATTTAAGTATTGTATTCCATAATAGAAGTATTCTACGTATTAAATTCTTTGGTTTTGTTTTAAAGTTTCATTATTTTTAAATTTTTTTCAGTGCTGCGCTATTGCATCTATTAACGGTGCCAACAAACAAGTTATTAAGATACACAAGAAACAAACCATCAGTATTATTGTTGAGGAACTAAAAGAAATTAAGCAATATATTTATTTTATTCAGGACTTCGTAATTAAAAGCATAATTTTCTTAATATTATATTTATAATTTAAAAGCTTTGAACACTGAAAGTTATTATTTGTTAAATTATATTTTCTTCGTTCCTGCGCCATTTGCGTCTTTGGGCGAAACGAATATCACGTATTTACAATATTTTTTGTCACTAAATGATGACTACCAGCTCTAACAGCAACAACATGGTTGAAAGTCAACAACAGCAGCAAAACGGCAGTAGCGGTCTCGGGGCTGCTACTGGTAGTAGTGCAGTAACAGCAGCAACGGCTACCGCTAATGCTGGTAGTAATAACAATAACAATAATAATACAAATGCTAACAACAACAACAATAATATGGATAACGACTCTAAAACAAATTTGATTGTGAATTACTTACCCCAGACGATGTCTCAAGAGGAGATTCGGTCGTTATTTGTTAGTTTTGGGGATGTGGAGAGTTGCAAATTGATTAGAGATAAAGTTACAGGTGCCCTAATAAAATCTACATATATATTTTATATAAAGAATAATTTGAATATTTTGTTTACGTTGCGGCAGGTCAAAGTCTCGGGTACGGATTTGTAAATTATATAAAACAAGAAGATGCTGAGAAGGCAATAAGCTCACTCAATGGTTTGCGTTTACAAAATAAAACAATTAAAGCAAGTTATCCACCGTTTCAGAAATGGGTTATATATACCTAAGTACTAGTTCTACTATATTTAAAGTGTTCTTTTTTATGCAGGTTTCAGTAGCCCGTCCTAGTTCAGAATCAATTAAGGGTGCAAATTTATATGTGTCTGGTCTTCCCAAAAATATGACTCAACCAGAACTCGAAGTACTATTCAGTCCATATGGCAAGATAATTACCTCAAGAATTTTATGCGACAATATAACAGGTGAGATCTTATGTTTTTTTTATTATTTGTATATTTATTAGCAATATTTTATCTAAACAAATTTAGCAATAAATATGTAGTCACAAATTGTAAGCAAAAAATCATAATATTTTACCATTATTTTAAACAATCTGAAAACAATTATTTTTTATTATTACTTTTTTAAGGTCTATCGAAAGGTGTAGGCTTTATACGTTTCGATCAACGTCATGAAGCTGATCGTGCAATAAAGGAGCTAAATGGAACTATACCAAAAAACGCCACCGATCCCATTATTGTTAAATTTGCCAATAATCCCAGTAATAATAAGTCTTTACAACCACTGGCTGCTTATTTAACGCCACAGACTGCTAGAGCACGCGGTTTTCCCGCCGCAGCAGCGGCAGTTGGGGCAGCTGCCGCAGCGGCAGCTATACATCCATCGGCAGCAAGCCGTTACAGGCAAGAATATTCCTGCTATGTAAACAAAAAATTTTATTGTACATAATTTTTCTCAATGTATTTCACTTTTGTCAGCTCGGTGATTTCACGTTATTCACCTTTAGCTGGTGATCTTTTGGCGAACACAATGCTACCGGGGAATCCCATCAACGGTTCCGGCTGGTGTATTTTCGTCTACAATTTGGCACCAGAAACTGAGGAGAATGTATTGTGGCAGCTTTTTGGCCCATTCGGTGCCGTGCAATCAGTTAAGGTGAGTTATAGTTTCATTACACAATGTCCATTCAACTAGTTTATATAATTACTCTTCGAATTATTACTTCCGACATGGTAGGTTATACGTGATCTGCAAACCAATAAGTGCAAAGGTTTCGGCTTTGTCACTATGACTAATTATGAGGAAGCTGTTGTCGCTATACAATCCCTCAATGGATATACACTGGGCAACCGTGTACTTCAAGTCAGCTTTAAGACGAATAAAACAAAGCAAACGTAATTATTAACGAAAATAACTGCTGTTATGAATGCCACCGCCACCAATACAATAAACCTAACAACAACACCGACACCACCCTCCCTGTTCAATTCCAAAACCACCAACAAGAACAAGAACACCACAACCACCACAACCACAACCACCACCAGTTTCAGTTTCAACTCCCTTAACAGCACTGAATTGATGTTGATGCATTTGAATGGCGGTGGTAGTGGTAGCCGTAAAACGAACAACAACAACACTAACCAAAACAACAAACATAACACCAACAGCAACAGCAACATCAATGCCAACAGCAGTCAGCACAATAATAGTAACAGGCTACAACAACAGAGCCAGCAACATACTAATCGTAAAACACAGCAACCCCCCACGGCGGCTACAGCAGCAAGAGCCACTGATTTGCAATCACTATTGAATTTGCCACCACCACAAACCCCACATCAAGCAGCTGCAGCCGCGGTCGCAGCAGCAACCATAGCAAATGCAGCTGCAGCCGCCTCGATTAGTTCATTTGGTGCCAATGGTTGTAATCAGCGAACAGGTGCTGTATCTATGGCAGGTCGCAGTCCAATACCTACACCACCTCAGACACAGGCTCTCATAAAGACAGCAAGCAAATTTATCTACAACAAGCCACGCAATCACTTTGAGTTATTACAACAACGTGTGCAAATGCAACAAGAATTTGCACATCTTCTTACGAGTGTTGCTGCGAGCAGTGCAGCTGCAGCTGCAGTGCAACAACATGCACAGCATCGCGGTCGGGGTGTAGCGGGAGCAGCAAACAACAACTACGCCGGCACGTCCAGCAGTAACACTCGCGCCGCGCAAGCAGCAGCTGCTGCCGCAGCAGCTGCAAAAAATTCACTTTCTTCCCTTTTACCTTATTCGAATTGGTTCTTTTAAGTTATACATATATTATTTCTATCGCAGTTTCTTTAGTAGTTTTAAGTACAAAATGTTAATTATTAACAAATTGAGTTATTGAATTTTAATCACTTATGTTTCTTTGATTATAAGATGTGTTCGTGTATTTATTGCGCATATGCAATATTTAGAGAGGTAATATAACTGCTTAATTGCTTTCGGGAATTAACGCTTAGCCAATAATTTTCAAGATGTTATAATTATTGATACTTTCGTGCTGAAGTTACAATTCTTATTGTTGAAAAAATCCAAATCGCTTTTGTTTATTTATCATCATTATTACCCACAGTGTAGATTTAGGTGGTTTGAATAATGTTTTTAACTTTGAAAAAACTGAATATTAATATATATTTACGGTTTCTTTTACTTTATACTACTTTGTAAGAATTGTTATATTTATTTAATATGGAAATACTTAAACGATCATGAGGAAAAATCTTATAGAAACACGTTTGAAATATGTTAAGATCTGGAGAATAATAAGCGTTTCAAACTAATTCTTTAAACACAATATTAATCAACATTAGCAAGATTTGTAGTTATTCATAAATCAAAGTCGTTATTAATGTTTTTTTTTCAACTACAAAAGTTTTGGAACAACTTCAGTTTCAGCCAATCGTTTTTAAACCATGATTTGCATAGATGAATATTATTTTATCATTTAAATTTTTCTTTATTAACATAAAATGTATCTCAATTGCATCATACACCATCTAACTTGCATATAAGCCGAAAATATTTAAAACGTTTATAAAATTAAAGTTTTTACAACAAACTATGCGTGAAATCATAACATCTTTTTTGTTTGCTAAATTTTTTAACAAGTGAGTATATACAATCTACAAGCCGTAATTCAAGCGTATTTGTACGTTTTTATGAAAACATACAAATATAAAATCCTAGTTTAACAACTTATAATTCAGACAGTTTATTCATAATGATATCAAAAATTTATAAAATGTTAAATGTATTGCATAATATGTATAATCCGGAAATAGTAATTGTACATATTTGTTAGTGCTAAAAGTATTTACAGAATTACATTGAATAAGGTGCTTGAAACCACATAATTCGTATATATTTCTGTTTTTCTTTGGTCTTGTAGAATAAACATCAAGTAGCTCCCAGTTGTCACTATTAAAAATTTGCTTAGTATACATTACAGCCTATGATATTCAAATAAATTTTATACATGTACTTACAAATATTATACATTTAAAGATGTATTTGAAATAAAAAAAAAATAATGTGTTTAACCAAAATAGGATATTATTGCAGCATTAATTTTCAAAGACAAGAATTAGTCTAAATCACCTGAGTTCGTCATGGGCAGGGAAATGTCGCAAATATAATATTTGTAAATTAAATTCTGATCATTAAAAACTGATTCATGAAATCTGTTGTAAAAATCGAATGCTTTTGTTATAATACTTAGTTATTACAAATTACCTAATTATTTTGCATAAGAGAATTGTACGTACGATTTTTACAGGATTTTCAGTTATGCTTGTTTTTTATTATGTAAAAATAAAAATGCAAAATCAATTATGTAAAAATGATGTGAAATACCTACAAAGTAATGAGAATATAAACTATTTATGAAAAAATAATAGAAAGGAACTATACATATATTTTTTACAAGTATAAAAATACATGCATATAGAAATTACAACCAAACTATTCCTGTTTTTATAGTCCTTGTGAATCATTTTTTATTAATTCAAATTAATATTTTTTATTAATTCAAATTAATATTTTTTATTAATTCAAATTAATATTTTTTATTAATTCAAATTTAAATATTATTGAGTTTGAATTGATGACATTTTGCAAATTAATCAGGAAAAGAATACCACATGCTCACGAAATAAGGAAATTTGCATGACTACCAAATAACTACCGAATTCTACAAATAACATACAACAACTTTCAAAGTACAGTTTCGGAAGGTAATAAATACGTTTTGTTTCAATATCATATTTCTCAAGATAAAAGGTTTCCTTTTTAGTTCGTTTAAGTAAACTTGTGAAGAGTCGTTATCAGATCAACAACATCTATTCTTCATTTAATATAAAAACAAGATAGTAATACAGACTACAATGGACCAAACGTATGTAAGTACTTTTTTATTTTGTATGTACAAAATAATAGGTACTCAATTATTTAAATATGAAATATCATACTGTTTTTTGTACATGCGCAATGAAAATCGGTTTTCTTTCCGCCCTTCATTAATTATACTAATGAATTATGTAAGATATGCATATACATACACACACTTCATATACGTACATATCCATGTACAAATATTAAAAACTTACAAAATTATTTGACTTTTTATTTGTTAGAATAGAGATTGGGTAAAACATTAACATATAATTTATTCTAATTGCAATGCGACTTAATTTAACGCAATTAAAAAAAATTATTTATTCGATATGGCCAAGATATGTGCAAAAATACTTCAACTGACAGTGACTAAAATTACTGGAAGAAGATTTGATCCAACGGTAAATTGGCAGCAGAAGCACAATAACAAATGAATACGCATACAGGGTTGTTATAACTTCTTATTAATTATTAATAATTATTATTTCTTAAATTTTTAATCAAAAATAGTATTAAATTTTCTGTATACATACATAATATATTAAGAAATCGAATTAGAATTTCGAAAACAATTAAAACATCCTTAAAAAATTTCGAATACAACGAATGAAAGTTTGAGAGTTTACAAGAAGTTTAATTAATTAAAAAAAACCGAATTCCTATGAAACTTAAAGCGAATAAATCCGGAGGATTCTTTGATTAACAAATACATCTATGTTTTAGGACTATTTCATAAATATAAATTAAATACTTATTAAAAAAGCTAAGTTTTAAAAGTGGTTATAAATATAAATACTATGAATATGTAATAAAAGTAAGGAATGAAAGTACATCAACACAAAAAAGAACACTAAGATAAAGGAGATATTTAAATTTAATATTAAAGAGAAAGTGAATAGAAAATCAGTAAGTGCAAACAAAAAGTTCAAGGGGTTTTGAAAACATTTTGAAATTTCTAAAAATTTATGGTATTAAATTTTAATTAACCACAACATGGTGATTTAATTAAGCGTGGATATTCAAAAATACAGGATTGTCAAAATTCCTAAATGGAGAAATCGTAACTGTGTACTTTTCATGCACTTGTAAAATATAAAGAATTATTTGCTATGTCTATTTCACATATGTATAGTTCATATGTTCACAAATCACTATAATACGCTAAGTCTTATTCAGATATCAGAGGCAAGTTTAGAACTTCCTAGTAGATTTCCGACTTAAAAAAAACACTGGCAGAAGTTTCCATATGTGTGTAAAACCAAAGCCTATGGCCTAAATAAAAAAAAGAAGCTCAAAAAAACATATATATACGTGGTAATTCATAAATGGTCGGCATAAACTAGGCAAAAACATGTGTTGTGAATAATCGTCGTGCTAATATCTTATGTTTATCACTGTTAGGTGTAACTAACATTTCTCTAAAATAAGTTATTACAAATAAAAGGATTATTAAAAGACCTATTGAAAATTATTCGGACGAAAATACAAAAATTAAAGACGAAAACTAATTTTAAACAAAGTAGTTGATATTAAGAAGTTCATAAATTTATATCCCAAGCACATAAAAATTTTAAAACTTATCTATCAAGCAACATAAAATAGTTAATCTTAAAGTAATCAATAACTTAAATTTTCACCTCGGCGGTTTTTATATTGTATATGTAAGTTCCCTAAACTTTCTTATGGCATTTAAAAAGTCAGCCTATCGTATGTATGTAATACTATTTTTCTCAATAACAACAAAAAAAAGCTATCCTAAGGTAAACATGATTTGTTAAATATATGTAAAACGAGCCTAAGCTTCAGTATTAAAAGCTTTTTGATATCATCTATAAACTATCCTATTGGCGTTGTGTGTTTCAGTGCTTAAATATAATATTTGCTGAAATGGTAGCAGGCAAATATGGATGTGCATGAATTACGAAATCTAATTTGTCAATAAATTTCATGCTATTGGCTTGCGTAATTTGTTGGTTTACAAAAAAATATACAGCTAGTTACAATCAATTGCTCATAAATACATAGTTGTATGGGCAGGCAAAAAGGTCCCATTTTAATTAATTAAAATATAAAATGCGAGTATACCTAAGTATGTATATTCGATATAAATCAGATACAACCGTTGCAGAAGTATGTTTAATACACAAAACAAGAATTATGAGATGAAAATACAAAATAAAAAGAAACAACAAATCGTACAATAATCCACGATTCGTTCATATGTATATACATACATGTATGTATACGTATGAAAATTTTTACTTAATTTTACAAGTTTCTAAAAATTCTATGAATATGATTAAGTTAAGGTAATAACATTGACATAAAGGATATTAGATAACATAAAATAAAGGCATGCATATGCAATACAGAAATCGTTAACATAGCAAAAAGTCGCATATCTTGAAGTAAATAATAAACAAATAATCATATACGACCGAATATATAAATAGCGTCAAGAATATACAAATAAAATTACATGATAAGATAATTTAAATTTATCATTAACAATGTAACAACTTGTTATTGTAAATGTTCACTTTTGTACTTTTACACCGCATACAAAAATATGAACAAGAAAAAGAGACAACCAAAAACATTCAAATCTTAAAATAAAATTAATTATTTAACTTCAATAAATATAATAACTAACTAATATTGAAAATATATGCAAAGATATATAAATATTCTTATGTTTATAGGTAAAAATTGAATATATGAGTTATTTTAGAGTAGTCTAAATATTCGAGATTGGATAATATTCAAAGTTATTATAGAAAAATAAAACTTCTAAAACCATTGCTTTCTTTTGACTGGACAACTGTCTTTAAATAATACAATTTTTATTTATAATATTATATTTAAAATTTTCTTAATTTGTAATTTAATTGGTTTATTACAAAAATTTAAATTTTTACATTAATAGATATTAAATCCACTTTAGCAATCGAAATGTTTACTACTTCAAACTATTTTTAATTAAATATATACTTTTTGTGAATCATTTAATATGATGCGTATATACATATATTTATATAGGTACATATTAAATTACAGATAAACGTATGTATAAACATATGCATGTAGAAAACATAAATGAAATAATATAAATCAATTCATTCACTGCGGTTCATTAATATATCTCATTATAAAAGAGAACAGAAGATCGAATGTATTTTGTAAAATAAGCGAATATACTTATAAACCTAAAATACTTTAAACACGAACGAATATATATACAAGTACATACTACATATTGAGCTAGTAGAACCCAATTATTGTGTGTAATTAATTATGTATTTAAATACATTATATATTATTATATTAACTAGAACATTCGTTGAAATTTGGAATTAACTTATGAAACAATGCCCACTAAAATAACTAACTTCTTCATATAGAAAACAATTACTACTGAGAAATGCATACATACTTAAAAATATAACATCTATAGAAATTTATAGGAAATTAAGAAAATAAAAGGAAGTTATGTCTCAACACAAACACATATATTATTCATACATGCATATTTAAATATATTTACATTGCATTATAAACGAGTATATAAATAAGCACATATGGATACGTATTAATGCATACACATATGTATCAGGCATCCTAATTTAAATCGAACCGATTTTTTTAGTCAGTCTTGTGCAGAATCGTAAGTAATTAGTCTCCACGTCATTTTTAGACTAAATAATTGCATTTGTATTGATTGTTCCAAGCTTAACTTAGTATATACAGTTGATTTACATACTAAAAACCTGTAAACTATACCGCTATAATCCTTTCCTATGAAAGCGTGGTTTCAAAAATTACCATTTTTCAAAACTTGTTTTCAAGAACTTCCTAACATAAGTTTAATGATCAATATTTGTATTGCACTAAATCATTTCTGGATAGTGCAGAAGTAATTCAACTTCACTTCAGGAAGATCAATATGAAAAAGATCAACTGCTTATACTAAAGTAGTTTTGGCACAATCTCATGCATTGGTCATATACAAGGAATCATCACACTAATTACTTAGTTTCATAATGCGCTCTACACTTATTTTTGACAAAGTCAAAATCACGAAAAGACCTTAGTAATCACAAAGCATATTTCCCAAGAAAAACATCTTGAATACGTTAACTTTTGTCATGTGTTTGGTTCTACAAATAAATTTTCAGGGCCGTTGATAGTTTGACACCGAATAGGAAAAAGTATGCCTAATTATACGTATGTATGCAAGTGCTTTATTCCTTTAATAAAAATTTCTATAACTCAGTAAAGAATAAATAAAGTGTTTGAAAAAATGTTTTAGACTCTCCTATTTTCTTAAGGATTATGAAATGGAAAAAGTTTCAATGATCCGTTATCTACTTCATTAACTAAGCGATGTGTTTCATTTAATGAAGCTTTGGTTTTAAGTTTATATTATGAGCTTTAGCTACCATGTTTTGCAAATTATGTTAAAAATTATTGTATAGTTAAAGATTTTTTTGTATTTCTTATTTTAGACTATTTTCGATTTCCTTAACATTTAATTTCAATCTGGCAGATTTTTATTTCTTCATACTTAGGCATTTACTGCTAAAATCGCATGATAAAATGGTATAGCTCAGGTAAGTACATTTTATATAATTGTTTATTTGCATTGATTTTCTATATCCAGCTGAAAGGAGCACTCAATAAGCCACTTTCTTGTATCACCAAAGTTCACTTTGTATATTTTGTACTCAAAATACCAATAATTAATGAAAAATTTTAATTGTTATTGCAAAATATTTTTGCCTTCAAAGTCTGAAACAAATTTTAGCTATTTCTCTAAAGCTTTATATTTATGAACGTTTTTTTCCAATACATACTTATCTATAGAAAAATAAATAATTTAAGTCCTTTTGTTAAATGTTACCTAATTTCTAGAGTATGTACATGGTAACAAACATTTCAATACTATAAAATATTGATTTTATTTACTTAATCGTACAAGTGCGATCGGGTTACGCCATAAGTATGACGTTAGAAAGATAAGATCTCGTAACAAAAAACCTCTCAGACAGTTTTGTGATTGCTTGAATCACTAATATTTGAACCCGAATCAAAGATGGTCTTCCACAATGAGAAAAAAATTACAATTTAACTTTTTTCTTCGATAAAGGCGATAACGATCCTAAACATATACAATTTTGGTTTCGTCGGTTCCGTTTCCGTAATTTTGATGTGAACGCTCTGAAAGGTCAATTGTCGAAAATATCGATCAAATAATCTGAGCACTCTTCTGATTGCCCGTTCGGAGCCATATTTAATAATGCTGGATACAACAAGGAGCTCGATGTATGGTGAACGCTAAACAAACCTAATTGACCAAATTTCCATCTGCGAATCGCTGCTGAATCGCAACAAAACCATTGAACCATTACTGAAGTTGATAGTTACTGATGATAAAAAGGGGGTGACTTACCACAAAGGAAGGCGAAAAGGATTGTAGTTGCATCGCGGTGAGCCAGTGAAAAGTATGTATGTTACTATGTATTTTGTTAGATTGGCAGGAAATCATTTACTATAAGCTGTTCCCCTAAGGCAAAACTCTTAGTTTGAGAATGTACTATCAAGAATTGGAGCGTCAAAAAGAAGAGAAGCGTGGCCAAAAGAAGAGAAATTGTGTTCCATCAAGACAACACCAGGCTACACACATTGATAGTGACTTGCCAGAAGCTCCGGAAGCTAGTTTAAGATGTTCCTTTGCATCCACTTTATATACTGTAATTGACACCTAGTGATTACTACCTCTTCCTGTCTAAGGCGTATGATTTTTCTAGTGAAAAATTCGGCACAAGAGGCCCTTATGAAAATCCACTGCCCCAGTTTGTTTTGCCTATAGGGACAAAGGTTTCTCTAAAAGTGGCATTTCGAAATTATTACCATCACATCAAATGGATTTATTTACGTAAATTTAATGGTTTTTAATTAATAATCACTAATTCATTTAAAATGCTCTTTTTCTTCAAATATATACAAAAACCACAAACGTAATAACCACAAAATTGCCACATAATTAATGTGCATTATACTCCAAGAAAGTATATAAAGGACCACTTCGTCAGCATATGCGTTTAACGATTTTATACTAGTTGCTGTAAAAACATAACATATATAGTCTACAATACTAAATGATAAAATGGATTTTGTTCAATTTTTTTGGTTCCCAAATGCTTTATATCGTATAGTGGGTTATGATTTTCAACAATTGCCACGAGCACATTGGCGACAGGCGATTATGAAAACGTTTCTCATATTCACGACAATAAGTGGTATATGCACGCGCATCTATATGCTATTTCAATTGCGTGAACTGATTTTAAGTGGTGACATTTTGAATAGCTTTCGTTTGGGTGTATATATATCTTATGCTATTGATTCAAATGTTAAATTTTTTGTGTTTCTTCTGAATGCAAAACGTCTTCGTGTAATTTACGAATCTTTGTCTAATGAGTACCCAATGACGTCTATGGAACAAAAATTATATCAAGTGGATAGATATAGTTTCAAACGTGCACATCTAATGATTGTTTCTTATCTATCGGTAACTAATTCGATACTTCTTGGACCTATGCTCCAGTCAATTTTCGCGTACATAATTGATTTATTTCATTACGGTTATGCTGCAGCAGCATTTTCATATTTGCATCCAACACCAATGTCATATACCTTTAACTATTGTACGCCGCATTATTACATTCTCATCTATATTTCGGAATACTTAAACGGACATTTTTGTACAACAACAAATTTGGGAACGGATTTATACGTGTGTACTTTTGCGGGACAATTTTGTATGCAACTGGAATATTTGGGAAACTCACTGGAATCTTATGAACCAAGGATGGGTAACTCAAAGGCAGATTGTGAGTTTTTGATGGAATGGATAAGAAAGCATCAGTTAATGTTGGAGTAAGTTATATTTTATTTTGTAATCACTCAATATAAAATGTGTATATTTTTATAATAAATGTATTTATCTTTCAATTCTACCTTTTAATTTACAGTCTCTGTAGCGAACTGAATCAAGTTTTCGGAACAACTCTGTTATTTAAATTGATATCCAATTGTGCCGTATTTTGCATAATTGTTGTTCAACTGAAGTTGGAGGGTTTTGGTTTCGGATTTTTAAATTTTCTCAGCTTCTTTTTCGTTACTGTTGCTCAATTCTTTATGGTATGCCAATATGGACAGAAGCTAATTACCATTGTAAGTTTCTATATAATACAATTATACTGTCATCGGGTGTAGTGGCGCTTCTGCCTCCACAATTCGGTTTAAATTATTAAAACATTTATTAAGTGAAATGGTAAAACATCTATAAATTTTTACATTTTTTAAAACTCCATAGGCAGCAAGTAGTTTTTTATTGCACCCCTGATGTATTAAATAGCATAATGAAGTTATATACGTGTCGTAATTTTTTTTACCGTTAGAGTGAAAATTTAGCATTATGCGCATACAAAAACCGTTGGTATAATGGGTCGCAAACATACAAAACTTTATTATTTAATATAATTGCGCGTGCGCAGAAACCAGCCAGGCTGACCGCGAAGGGATTTCAACCTATATCGCTGGTGACCTTTCAAATTGTGAGAAGTATAATAATATAATTGAATAATTCAAAATATGTTATTAATTTGTTTTTGAATCTTTTACTTTAGGTAATGACGATGACCTATCGCGTATTCGCGGTGCTGCAACGTGCTTTAGACTAGTATAACTAGTATATTATTAATTATGCAAAATATTTCGATAAACCGTCCTGTACACAATATATAGTATACAAAGATAAATAAAGCCTCTACCTATCTTCTCTGATTCTTTCATAACAAAAATTATAGTGTTAAGTTTGGCTTAAAACGAGCAACTTGTATATCGGCACCTAATATGTAAATCAAGGTATCATCAAATAATTCGAAATTGAGTTTTTTATTAAATATAACACTTTTATTAGCTTCACCAGTACGTTTGTATGCATGTGTGTTTGTATGGATGTATGTACCATATGTTGAAGCAGATATTCCACTTCGATGACAATGCAATCACCAACTCGTAAACTGTGTCATCTTGAATGATCAACATAGGACGTCAACAGCTAGCCTAGGGCCTATAAACTCAACCAGGCTGTCTCAAAATGATTCGAATAGAGTCCATCTCCCCCTAATATTCAAAACGTTTAAATTTGACTTCAACGGACTTAATTAACACTCAGATATTCTTTCTTGTTCAGGTTATAACCTTCTACGTAGCACTCCTGAGCGCGATAATGGTGGTGTTATAGTGTTCATAGTGCGCAACATCGTTCCTATCGTCCTATCAACTTAATGAGTTTCGCCGCAGAGATCCTTCAGTATATGTTGAATCTTACATATGCAACTATAACGTAGGAATATTAAAACAAATATATATTATATATAATATAGTAAACCAGAATAACAAAAATTGGCAGAAAAAGTACTGAACCGATTTTTCTAATTTTAACACCAAGCCGCATTATTTTCATGAAAAGTTGCGTATTTCATTTCTGACATTTTTCGTTAGTTATTTACCACACTTTTAGAAGTTTTAAACATAACCGTTGAATGTAGTTCGTAATCCTGTTTCACGAGCGGACGGGCAGACATTTGCAAATCGATTCATCGATAGATCATATTTAACAATGCCTATATATTTTTTTTTTCGATGTTGCAAACAACTTGGCAGCATGCTGCGTTAGTGTTATATAATACAATTACAGCAACTATAACAACAAAACACACGGTCTACCATCCGTTATTACTGGCAGAAGAGTTGGCACCTTCAGTTCATATTTTTAATACTTGTTGAACGGCGTTTCAGTGTCACTTTAATAGCGCATACATTGTTGTCGAAAGCAATTGCATTTTGTTAGATCACATACCCATACACATGAATAAAGGTGCCCTTATTTAGGGTTCACTGCAAGACGCTTTAAAGCGCTGTCTTGCATGGGCAGTATTTTCTTTGTTGATTGCCATGTAGTTTCATGGTCTACGTTCAATATCGTGCCGTCAATATCGTTTCATCTATGTTGTTTCTATTCCACAAATTTCAATTTCTACGTAACCAGCAGGTATCGTACCCGGCAGATGTATACCCCTACATAAGTCAAGCTGACATTACTACAGAAATCCCTTATTGCATTTGTTGTGTCTCCTACAATCGGTCTTGACAGTAGCGTATACTTGCTGCATTGTTTATATATGGGTGAACAATCGTCGAATTTAGATTGCTGGTTATTACCAACCTTACCAGCCTTAAAGGCAACACCAGTACAAATTGCTACAGCAATTTTTGATATTATTGCTTTCGATTTTTCGCGCTCTTTCGCGCCGTCGTAGTTTTGTAGACCATCTAGATTCGTGTCGCAGTCGTTTGGTAACTGTTAATTGTGTGCCTCAAGCGATACGTTCGTGTTACTAATTTGATTATAATTTTGTATAAGTATTGAATTACATATTTCGGTAATGTGCTTTTATTAAATTAACGCGTGTAGAGTGTCGAAAGAACGTATAGGACTCAGTACAGTTAAGAAAAGCTACTAGATAGACGTACAATTACTGCTACACTACTATATCGTGAACTTTTAAACATTACATATTCGAAACAATAGTTTTATATTTCATATTTCTATGTAAGCAGCAAACTGTGTTGGCGCGAATTTTCTGAAGTGCGCGAGCTGTTAATCATTTTAATAGGTGGTAAGTTTTTTTTAAAGCTCTAATAGGTGATATTATCTTTATCACGTTTATCCATCTTTATTCTTTAGTAAGTAGTAGTATAAGTATTTGTAGATTCTTAAAAAAAAATATAGATAAAGAATAGACAACATTCATTGTAAGAAATTAGTAAAACAGTTACGAATACTTTTAATTGAAGGATTGCCAATATATCCAAATAATTAAATTTATTTGGTAATTATCGCTTTAATAATTTCAAAATGTCACTAAAAATTTAGATTTTTAATGCAGAAAACATATTTCATATTGAATACTTAGGTAAGCATATTAGCAATTTTGCAAACGATATTAGTGGATGATTTTACGAAAGGCGAGTCACGCAACAATTGTCAAATGACATTATCAATTACGAAAATTAAAAATTTCGTTATTTCATTTATGGAAGGGTCTGCTGTTTTTCTGACTGGTTTCTTTTTATTTAAGAAATTTTAGGTTTAAACTAGTCCTTTTCTATGCGTAAAAATATAAAAAAAAACAATATTTTGTTTTGACGAAATGGTATGTCCACGTATGAAATATTTGTATATGTACTTAATTTCCTGATATGCCATTAAAAAACAAAAAAAAAGAGACTACTAATTTAATTAAGACGTTTTAGGTTGCATCCAATATGTTACATTTCTGATGGTTTCTTTTGTCTACATTGCTTGAAAGCTTACGCTTGCCTCTCTACGTTCGTACACAATAAGTTTTGAGTTTTGAATGTTTATATGTATATGAGAACATATAGATCTTGGATCGGGTTTGCGATATTAGATACTCATAGATTTTTTTGAATGCTCCCATCGTGGTTGTAAGCAAATCATTTTTCTAATAAGAGTGACAACAAATGTTTTTTATTTAATGTAAATTACAATCGATACATTTAAGTTCTGAATATAACATCATTTAAATTCCCTCCACAACTTCTTTTGCAGAATGAACCCAATCTTCGAGTACTTTTTCACTAAATCAAGTCATATGTCATGAATAACATGTTCATTATTGATTTCTAAAGCTTGAAGATAGTCTGGTTTATTACTAAAGACCAATGACTTCAAATCCCCTTACAGGAAGGATAGTCTAATGGTGTTAAATCACAACATCTTGGAGGCCATTCAATGTCTCAATTTGGAGAACGATTATTTTGATAATAAAATGTAATCATTTGTAAACGTTGTTCTTCTGTATATCATTCCATGATGAAATTTTAAACATTACAGAATAAATTGAAAAAAAATTTTCAGATCTTGACATTAAAAATGGCAGAAAAGACACTTAGAAATTATTGTCATCTCTATTTGAAAACCCGTTTTTAATAATATTTATGTGATATTGATAACATTTATGGACTTGTATTGCACAAAGTTCTGTTAGTTTATTAAAACTTAAAATAAAATTCGGATTTTAAAATCATAAATGACGCTCTGAAATTACGTAAATTTACTTAATGACTATTCCGGCTGCATCAGAAAGATATTTCAATATTAGCTAAAAGGATATTTCGGTAATTCGATACTATGTATTCCATATTCCGTGGGATCGATTAAAAATTTAGTAAAGATGCCCTCAACTTTCGCTAGAAAATACAGTTCAGACATTAACATTAGTTTTAATACCCCGCACAGGGTACTTCAAGTTTGCCAGGAAGTTTTTTATATCCAGAAAGAAACGTCGAAAGCGTTATAAAGTATATATAAGTATAAATGCTCAGCGTGACGAACTGTATTCCTGTCTGTTCATCTCTTTTTATATACGCGAACTAGTCCCTGAATGTATAAGATATCGATTTGAAATTTCGCACACGCTCTTTTCTCGTCAAAAAAACTGCTTCCGACCAATAAGAACTGCTGATATCAGACCTCTAAGCATATATGTAGCTACCATACAAACTGATCGATTCAAATCAAGTCCCTGTAAGCAAAATCTCTTTATTTGCCAAGATTTAGTCCCGAAATGTGGCAAAGATTATTGTCTAAAGCAACGATACAATCTCCAAACAAATTGTTCGGATCGGACCACTACAGCATCCCTTTAACTGACCGATCCAAATTAAGGTGAAGATTTCGATTTGAAGGTTGTTTACCATATAGCAGACAACGTGGATAGAAAGAACTAGCAAAACATTTTCCGTGGGACTCAAATCGTTGGCCTGTTACCTTTTCAGATATATTTATAAATATATAAGAAATGCACAATGTGCATTGCACATATCAAGAGTTCGAGTATTATAACTTCGATGCAACCGAAGTTAACGTTTTTTCTTGTTGTTTATTTATTTTTTCAGAATATGTATTGGTTGACGAATCCAAAGTAATGTTTAATTTTATGTCTAAAAAAACTCAAATAGAATGACGACTAACATACATGGCTTTAAATGGAACTCAAGTCTTCTTTGCTTAAAATTGATGAATTTGAAAAATATTATTTCGTATATTATTTTAAATTTTTGTTTTAAATTATTGTTGTAAAGTAATTGAATATTGTTAAAGATAATGTTATACCTATATTGGAGTGCGAGCTAGTTGTGAAAGGATACTCTAATTGAAATACGTATAATTGAGAGTTGTAGTTAGTGGTATCAAATCGCCGATATTTTATTCAAGAAATATCTTTTTTATGCGGATTACTATTATTTATTTGTTTATCAAATGTTTGGTGTAAGGTAGATCCTAATCATGTTGAATGATTGTCTATATAAATTATTACCGCTAATCACTTTTTTTTTATAATACTAAATCTCAAATTTGATTTGTATGACAATATTGTGTTTTCAATCACCCATACTTTACTATTTTCCAGCTCAAACAGTTTTGCGCTCACTCTCAATTCCTTGCTCCATTTTGCATATCACTGCGCATGCCCTGGATTAATTTCTAGTGTATCCATTCGTCTGAATATATTTGTGCGGTCATATAAATATATACTTAAAGGACTTAAACAAGTCTATAATTATAATAAAGTTGTATTAAAGAGGGATAATTTGTTGAACCGAAACTTTCTATAGTGAAATGCTTAATTGCTCAAGTGGCAAATTTTTAAAAAATTTAATTGTTTTATAGCTTATAACTTAATTATTTAATGTTTTCATTGTTATGACACTAATTCCATACTTTGCAGGATTTTGTACAATAAATTTGTATATGTATGTATCTACAGTATTTAGATGTAAGACATCTTGTCGAAGTTCATTAGAAGGTTTCTCGAAAAACCTCATTCGACCAGTATTAATCCAGCTCCATTAAAAATTTGCTTGGGTTAATCTATAGAGAGCATACTGGTGGATGTTGGCACAATTATTGCGGTTATTTTGTTTGCATGAGCAGATTTTGATTCCTTGCCGGTTTATGTCCAATTAATTCGTAAGTTATCTAGAAAAGAGCTAAATAATAAAACTAAAAGAAAAATTGGAAATGGAATAGAGAGTTCCGATTCAAGAAATTCCGAGAAATTCCGAACAAATTTCCAATAAATTTATAACATCAAGAGAGTCGTAAACTGTAAAAGCGCTAACGATTTATGTAATAAGCTTTGTGTTTTACAAGAAACTCAACAGTAGCAGTGGGTGTGGTTCCAAAAATATGTAACAATGTAAGGTCTTTTAAAGGACATTGTGTATTCTTTAACAATCCGTTTTATCTTTACATGGTCTGGGGCACCATGTATTTGAGTGTCGCAAGGCATTATTTCTTTATATATGTAATGTAATATATTATATATATTACAAATATACAATAATAATGTATTTTCGAATAATAAAACACAACACCCCATAAAATTATAGATGTTGAAGCTAACTGGTGGCATGCGTTGTGCGGTTAGTATTGGGCATCAAAAACTGGCCTAGGGAAAGGTAGAATAGCATGATTAGAGTAACGTTAAAAGTCCAGAGAGTGTTTTATTGCGCGCGCCTGGGAAATCAAATTTTAATATATACATACATTCGTGATTGGGAAAATATTTTTGAGACTTATAGATTGTTGTTGTACATTTCCAACAATAACTATACTTATTATTTTACTCTCAATATAATCGTTTGTACTCAATTCATAGTATGTGCTCTCATCTTTCTTTCTCCAAATATTTCCAGAGGTGGTATGTGGATGAATTTCAGCCGTCATGGATCCCAGTGCTCTACAAAACATGGATCGGGACGCATTAAAGAAGCAAATTGAAAACATGAAGTATCAAGCTTCGATGGAACGATGGCCGTTATCTAAAAGTATTGCAGAGTGAGTATTTAAATTTTCGCGACAATAAATTTCTTGGATTTTGCTATATGTGCAATAAATAAAAACATGCTAAACTATGTCAAACCCAAGTTTTATATATTGAAATGGGTATGTGAAATTATGTAGTTCATTTTGTTCACACGCCTAAAAATGTGCTTGAATACCTTAAAGCTGTACAACAAAAAAGTATGGTGTGTATACAATACCTAAGATTTAAACCAGCTATGGCTTATGTATTTACTTGTGAATCGGTCAAATATTCAATATTAGTATATAATGAGTATACATTCTCATATTTAAGCAGACAAAATATCGACAACGATTGGTCTATATATCTATGTTATATTTATCCCAAAATATATCAAAGTTGGCAAAAGTTCTTTAATAACTGTGTGTGATAAAGATGTGACGAATACCAAGCAGTTACGCTAAACACAATTCATACAATTGGTATTAATTTAAAGGTATACGACAAATATTTTCAAAAATTACAAAATTTTTTTCATTTACCAACTCAAACATATAAAATGCGTTTATGAATAAATTAAAAATAAGACTCTTCAATATTGATTAAATTTTACATAACGAAAGTGCTAATATGTTTCAGCATTTTGTATGCTTTCTTTAGTACACACACAGAGTCAGTTTCAAAGATCTTTAGAAAACGAATAAATATTTTTGGATTTAATAAATTAAAATCTTATTTAAAAGAATTTATTTCAGGTAACATCAATTGTAGTCAATATACACTATGAGTTCTAACTTCGTTAAATATATGCCATGGCATATCATTTTTCGTTGATTTTTTTATGTGTTATACATTTTTTGGTTATACTATATTAAATATTTTAAATTGTATAATAAAATTGGGTGGTTATTAGATCACTGTGTATCAACTAATTTTTTACACAAAGGGTAACATCGCAAACATTTAGTAGCAATTGAGATAGAACTTACTGAACAATTTGTTAATAACGAAAACCGCTACTTAACTTTCATACCTCTTCAAATTAGAATATATCTTTGAAATTACTCATTGAAAAAATGATTATATTGAATGTTTAATTAAATTTTTTATTGTATGGGAGGTGGGTGTGGTTACAAGAATCATTTTGCTAAGTTTGGTCAATAAAGCTTTAGTAATTTATCGGATAAACTCTTCCTGATATAATATGCATATAAAAAAGCTTTAAACGACATATGCCTTTCCTTACTGTGATCCTCTGCAGTTATATACATACATACATATTTATTTATTTTACGAAATGTAGTGGGCCTCTCATCAAAATATACCAATTTTTTTGAAGTTATCGCTTACACGGACATATTCATGGATAGACAGACTTTCGGAACTCACTGACCATAATTTGACCATGTCCCTGTTACTATTAAGATTTATGTATAACGACTCGTTTTGGATTGGCAATATTCCAGTGGTGTGCACGACTCTTTTCCAAATCAATTCTGACGGGAACACTTTGAACACTTGTTATTTACTTTGTTAAATTAAATTAAAATACATAAATGTACTACTTATGGTATATAGAACATAGTATTTCACCACATTCAAAAATTCGTTTTTCAGTAAATAGTTACATACATATATACTCATAATTGTATTTGTACTCTTAAGTTTAGAAACTTAATTTTAATACAAAAATATTGGCATATATACCAATTAATTTTCGTGTTTTTTTTCAAATCGCCGCACAACAGTCAATCAATTTTAAGTAATGAATTGCTTACCGTTATATATAAGAAAAAGATGTTATAATTTTCTTGTGTGAAATATGAACAAAATAAATCGTAATAGGTATACATATATTGTATTTTAGAGAACATTATTGTTTATTGCTTCTAAAGAAAATATTAATTATAAAAGTATGAGTGAACGTTTCTAGTTTTAAAATTGAACACATTGATGCATTTTACTTTTACATTCTCACAAAATAATGTGCACAGACTTTGATAATATACGAGTATACACCCATGATTTTATGTTGTCCAAAACAAAAAAAAAGATTGACCTTTGAGCGTAAATTTCATATACTGTTTTCTTTTTCGTTTTCGAACTTCATCCATATGCGGTAGTATGTGTAAATAACTATTATTACATCTTATTATTATATATATATTATATATATATATATTATATTTTAATACAATTTGTATTTATAAAACATCACAAAGTAGAGCTTGAAACAAAAGTATACAATGACCGTGAATTTGCAGTTTTATTTTGCATTAGTAACCAAAAGAGTAAAAGCATCATTTTAGGGCACGACATTTTGTAACCTCCTCTCATTTGTTATGTATTTTATATACATACATAATTTTTTGTCAAACTTAAGATACCTTTACTCTTTACACTCAGTGATGAGGCCAATGAGTTTGACCTCGTTTAATGTTTTTATTCTACGTATGAACAAAAGCATCAGCTTACTGCCATCACCACATATTTTACGCTTAGAGGTTTAATATAATATCTATGAAACGAATAAGAACAGTGTTGATATTAATAGATGATTTAGTATTAATGTGTCAATTTATACTTTAAGAACTCAGAGTTAAATCAACTGAGATAAATATGTCAAATAAGTACATATATGGCGAATAATGACATATTTCATGCATGATTTATATACTAATTTTTTAATATTATACTTGTACATACTTGTATATAGTCTCCGCTCGGTCCTCGTACTACATACAAAATATACATATGTAAACATTATATTTATATATGATCTACACCAGAAAATCCGAATAAAGTATGTAGTGCAAATAATATAATAAGCCACAAATTTATTATTATTTTCTGATATAATATACATTTTTTTTAAATTATCTTTTTAGCAAAATATAAGGAGAAATTTCGGTCCGAGTAATCTTGAATAATTAAATGCTATATTTTTTATTTTTTATTTTTTATTTCATATTTATTGTAATATGCTTTTAAGTATTAAAGCAGCAATGAATTATACTCAAAGTGTGGTAATATAAATTAAGCCATGGCTACATATTCACCTGTGCTTGATAGAAACTTTGGTTGGTAAAATAGTTATTGATAATAAAAAATCTTCGCATTTGAAGGGTGACACTAAGAAGAATTAAAATATTGAAGAATTAAAATGTGAATATTTTGTAAATATAGTAGATGTCAGCTTAGCTATGTAGCGTTTGAGTATTGAGTAAATATTATATATTAGTAGTTAATTTGCAGTTTAATAATAATGCCGATCTTCTAATAGGTGCTATATGTAGAATGAAATACGCAGTAATTAGTTATATAAACGAATTAATAGTAATATAATGCCTTATGCATATGAAATCAGATATTTAGGTTTTTCTATTCCACAACTCGTCCGTATATATACCAACACAATTTTTTATACATACATGGCATATCGATCTAAGTATGCGATAGTTATTATCAGGCCGTTGCTTTAGTTCAATGCAAATATAGGCAAAACGTGACCAATAGCAAATACTTACATTCAAGTAGAATTTAGTTAACAGGAGAGTGAGGAACACAAAAACCATAATCGAAATAACATGAAATGAAAACATAACGTGAATAACTAAAGAATGGCGCTGTTCAGCATATCTTCAATGGCTATTGATCACGTTGCAATGATTTTTTTGCTGGTATTTTTCTTATTATTACCATATTTAACGAATAGGGTGGTTTAATGTCGACTCAAAGGGAATATAAATCAATGGGAAAGCTTTATTTTCGACAGCTATCTTTTATCATCCAAATTAACTTCTGACGGAAGTGCAGTCAAAACCTACAAAATTGAACATCAGAATGTCGTAAAATATTACAATTAATTGATACTTCCTCAATACCAAGAAAGCAGAACGAATACTAACAGCTTACGATATTATATTCATAACTGGAATATATACATAAATATTGACTTAACATACACATGTAATTTATAAACAAGAAAAAATCTTAATTTCGGCGGAAAACGTTTTGCTAGATATTTCTAGCCAAGTTATTTGATGTAAATAATCTACAAGTTGAAGTAAGGTTACTAAATAAGGAAAAAAGATCTTTGTCTATAGTAATTCGATCTGATTTGTTTTATAGTGTTGCCTTGCACAATAATATATGCTAATGGAGAAGATATCTTGTCAAATAAAGACAAGAACTTTAATTCGATCGGTTAGCAGATATGTGCTATAGTCGTCCGGTGGCGACAAATGAGCAGCTTCCTGGGGAGAAAAGGACATATACAAAATTTCAGATCGATATCTCTAAAACTGTGGGACTAGTTCACATAATACAAACAGACGAACGTGGCTAAATCGACTCAGCTCGTCACGCTGATATGAGGATGATGATGTACAATACATATGTACTGAATACACTGTTGAACTTACGGGGCCTCCTTGAAGACGGTTGATTGTGGTGATGTAGTGATGTGGTGAATGTTGTGTAGGTGTATGCCAATGTCATGCTTAGAGACCCGATCACGTAAATAACTTTTTTCAAAAAAAATCTTAGTTGTTAGTATATATAACTATATTAGATTATATTTAAAAAGATTTGTTTCTATTCTATTTTCTTTGTTAAAATCATTCGCTTTCTTAAGAACTCCGTAGCAATATGTTATTCTGACCCATTTATACGAAATTCGGCGTTGGGTTTTACTTACACTCGTATTTTAAGCTTTCCATTACTATAAAATAGGATTGAAGGATATGTAAAATCAAATAATGTATGAAAATAATATTTTAATTAAACAAATTTAATGTTGATTTATTTATATAAACTTATTTGGTGATGCAAATTATTATAGAAGCGTGGGCTTGCTCTGTATATATGTATTTAATAGTATTTGTGCACATATACTCATACATACTTATGTATGTATATATTTATTTGCTAATATGGCAAAGTTTAAGGCACTTGCTATCGCATATAAAACAGATAAAAATGTATAAGTTCGCTTCAATGTCGAATTGTTTCTTTGGGTATTATGATCTTAGAAAGACCCTTGTTCGATAAACACTTGTAATACTAATGGTTTATTACTAAATTTATTGTTTAGTTGTAATTACATTATTTAAAGCTGTAACCAGTTTGACAATAAAACAAAAGACTAATAGTACTTTAAATAAATCTAAGATGTTTAAAAACGGCAGAACTAAGTATTTTGATAAACTGAGTTTTAAAGCATGTTGTATTCTCGAACCAACATAACATACAGATATTTATTTTTTGAATACTAGTAAATGTATTGTATTATATAAATTATTTGTTCGTTTCTCATATTTCTAGAATGCGATCTTTCATAGAGGAAAATGAGAAAAATGATCCTCTAATTAATGCCCCGGATAAGAAGAACAATCCTTGGGCTGAAAAAGGAAAATGCGTTCTTATGTAATATTATCGTAAACCGCAACAGTACGATACCAACATTCACAAGTATCCCATTTATTACTACAATCACCACAATAACACCACTAGTCAAAAAAATGTTATCAATAATAAGAATTATAAAACAAGAAATGACAAGAAAATAAAGCAACCATTAAGAATACAACCACAAAATGCAATTATTGACTACAATAGCAACAAAATAAACCTGCTAAATTCAGATAGTCTTGACAAAATAAATTGTTTTAAAGAAAAAACTGATTATAATAATTCCTTACACCCAGAAAATATTCAAAAGCACGAAAGTCAGTTAAAATCAAAGGAGGACGTAGGTGGAGTTGAAAGAGAAAGAATAACAGAAGACTATAGCGAAACAGAAGAAGATGAAATCGATGAGTTCTTTCTAAATGAGGAAACTGCTACAGTATGCCATGGTAATAATTATTACAATGATAACAACAATTATTACTATCATAATTATAACTTAAATTACAATCAACATCTACACGAGCATTCGCATTCCAAAACTCAAAAATTGATTCACCAGTTAAAACGACGTACCCTACGAGAAATTGTACAACGTCCAACTCTTATACAAATTGTCGCTTTATTTATGTGGTTCCACGGTAAATTTTGGGAATTCTACTATGAAACACTGGCTCGAAGATTACAGTAAGCAACAAAATTTTTTATATAAATATTCAAATTAATTTTCGTCTGTAGGTTTTTAGGTTAACAATTCAACGATTTTCTGGAAAATTAGCTATGGATAAACACCTTTCTTCAACGTAGTTGGTAGGGGTTTCCCATTGCTGGATTTGTGAACACAACTGATTCTAACTAATTTTAAATATTCTTAGCTCGTTAACTGATTTTAGCGGCTAATAGAACATTATGTATTCAGTTTAAATATGTGGATACAATATATTCAACAATATAAAAACATACATTAAATTTTTCGCTCAATAGAAAATACATGAATTGTACTAGTTACAAAATAACCAATCTAATACTAATACTGAAATGAAATCTAACAAATTATCATAGCCATTAAAATTCAATAATTAACTTTAGTTTCATGTTTTTAATTTCCATTCTATGTATATGAAGCCACTAAGTCTTCAAAATTTTATTATTTTGTATTACCTTCACTTGCTATTTATTTTTTTAAATCATCGCAAACCTCAAATTTCCCAATATAAGAGCAATTCTCAATTCTCCTAAGTACATAAAATATAAAATCATATAAAAACAAACCTTCAAAAATTCAAAATAATTGAAATAATTATTCTAGAAGTCCTAATAGGTGTACTATTACATGTAGTTCTTGAAGGAGTATAATATTACGAATACTAAATAATAAAAGTCTAAGACTAGTATTAAAAATCTGATAACGGAAAAATACAAAAGATACAACCTTTATCCCACCCTATTTTTGAGTAAAGCATAATAAATACAATGTTATAAGCGGAAATGGTGTAATTAAAAATTTTTAATTTATTTTCAACAATGCAGCCTTACAAATGAAATTACTCGAATAAATATCACTTTGCTGCATTCTAATTTCACGCGATCAAATCACATTCACCGTTACCAAAAGCAAATAATACGTGTTCATTTCTATTACCTACCTTAGTTAAACTTATTATCGGGTAAATATAGCACATTCGTCAAAATATTTATGAAGCCAATGCTGCGAATTTTGATATTCAGAACTTTTTATAAAATTAAAACTTCGACATATATATACATATATTTAACATTGCTAGACCAAGGGAGATTATTCACTATGCTTTATTCAACATGCATTATGTGCCTATCAGTAAATAAAAATTAAAAATTAAATCATAGGTTCGATAATGAATATATGAAATGCTATTGGAAAATTGTGAAAATACCTTTATTACAACTATTACCTCTTTTCTTACTAGCTATTTAGACTTAATTTATAAACAAAAAGTCAGTTATGCTATTTTATATGTATTCAGTTCTTGCAATACTGAAGACATCCAAGATTAAGTAGTATGGCCAAAATGAAAGGTAACAAATACAGTTTATAAAAACTTACCAAAAAAACTTAGTAGCTCGTTAAAAAATTACATTACAAAAAAACAGTGAACTAGTTTCAATATACATATAATAGCTCAAAATTTCAGTATATATTATGGATCACTTGTGAGATGATTTAATTTAATTGTTACATACATACGTACATATAACACTTCTTATCACTATGTTACATCAAATCGAAGACAATTTCAAATAAGTTCGAACAGTATGTATGTACTTTTAACATTCTAATGAAAAGGCGAAATAAGATATTAATAATACAAGAGTCGAAGGCAAATTAACAACATTATTTATATTTAATTATAGCTCAATATAATTTACAACAGTATTCGAATGCAATTCGATAGCTTCAGTCATGTAATTCAAAATCAGATTATGAAAGGTTTTTGTGTTAAAAATTAGAAAGAACATAAATTAAAAGCAAATTGAATAAACATCAAAAGATGATCTACTAAGGATATTCCAAAATGTTCATCTTCTACTTCATCGAAAACGAGTCAACAAAATAAAACTTACATATAAAATATTAAAAAAAAATATGGCCAAAACGTAAGTAATTATATACAAAAATATATACACAAACATATAATATATAGAGAATATAAAGAAGTTGTCCTTCTGGTATATGTGCACACTAAAAATATTCAGTAATTTTAAGAGTTATCAAATTGTCTCACAAAACTTATTAGTTTACTTTCGTAAACAAAATATTAAAGTTACTCAATGGAATAACACCAAATAGAAATTTTATGAGTACTTAAAGTTAAAAGAGCCATAGCCAATGTACCGAAACAACACGCAGTATCAATAAAAGTGAAATAAACAAAGCAACTTTGCAAATTATAATATTTAAATTTTCTTACATAATACATACTTATGTTGCATAATCAGCAAATAGTAGATATTTTCAGATTTTACCAGGATCTCATGAATTAATTTGTTATTAAAATAAAATTTACTCGAGAACTTTAAGCCAAAGTAAGGAAGTAAGTGTGTTAAAAATAAGTTGGTTAAAAAGTATAAATAACTGAATTTGGCCGGCAAAAATAAAAAGAAAACAAACAAATACAACTGCAATTAAAAAAAAACCAGCCATTCTTACATAAAAAGTAGTTGACAAACATATGTCAAATTAGTGATGAGTACAACAAACAAAATACACATTCTTAACAAAAACACGAAGGAAGAGTCGTCATAATTTTAAGTCAACAAAGCAACAAAATCACGAAATAATAAGTAAAAGTAGGTTTACTAATATATTAAGACATGTTACATAAAAAGTAGTGAAAGCATATAACAACTTTTAATATTTGATCTTGAATATAATAATAAAAATAATATATGTGTGTTAACAAATGTAATCATTCCAAAAAAAAAAAATACAGTTTTAATAATAATGTGTGATGAAAAAATAGTAATATTTTAAAAAATAAATCAGAATCGGAGTTTCTCTGACATTCATTTGAATGACTATCTGATAATGCATGTTAATTGAAGCTGAAAAATACTGTTAAGATAACATTTAATAGCATGAGAAATCAAAACAACAATCGATGTAAAAGTAAATATTAAGAGACACTACGGAAAAGTGTAAGATGTAAAAGAGAACTGTTTTAATTCATATTAAAAAGGTGTTATTTGATTTTCTGAAACCGTTAGTTTCTGTGATTGGAGAAATCAATAACCAATAAGTTTTAAGTTACATCAATTTAAAATGTATTAAAGTTATTACAAAAATATTTCGGACAAAGTAGAGAAAATATAGTATATATTTAAATTGGTTAAGATAACAAGATAAGTATATAATTGTCACACATATATCTGCATAATACTATCTACGTACACAAAATCTATATTCTTGAATAACACAATTATGTTGAACAATACATAACTTTCCGGAATTTTGGGAAATTTGTACTAAAACCTACGTAAAAACTCAGTACCGAAAAATATATGTTTATATGATAAGAAGGTCAACAAGGCTCATTTAAATATATAAAGTAATGGTTTATAGTTAGTTGAAATTCAAGTATTCAGCAAGGAGATAAAGTAAATTGAAGGCTACGCAGCTGAGAAAAATATTTATGAAATATCGAAAATATGGATACAAAGTGAAAAATATTTGATTGCTGTCAAAAGATTGATGTACAGATGTACAGACTGTGAAAACAAAGAGGCAGTGAGAACGAGCGACAGATTTTGCAAATAAACTGCCAAAATATCACCACAAACTAACAGCCAAGTTTTTAAAAGGGATGGATTTAATGGAGAGTAACACAAGTCTTCTGCAATAACTCATTTTACAATATTCGAACACACAATTAGCAGTTACGTTGAAAGTAGTATCGCATCTTTTGATATTAATCGATTGGAGATATGATAACAAAAAAGCTTTGACAATTAATCTATGCAAATATGCATTTAATTCGACAAAAGAACAAAGAAAATAACTAATCTACTTTTAATTGAAAAAATTTCATATACATATGCCATTTCTGTATACCCATATTGTTGTCAGATCACATCAAATGAATTTCTGTTTTCATAAACAATCAAGGCCGTAATAAGTTTGCTGAAAGCTCTTATGAAACCTTAGAAAATAACCGTAGTAATGTTGTCATTTGTGCAGTTGTGCGACAATTATTATGCGCGATATATCACTGAGACAGGGTTTGAAACGTGTATCAATGAGGAGTCAGAACACTCACGAATAGTCACAGCATGAATGTGTGAAATCTGTGGTGATGATTTTGAGCGTGTAGGTGAGCAAGTAAGCGCTAGGGTGATTGAATTTACATCATCACATTTCTGAGCAACCTATATACTTGAAATGATTTAGTATAAGTAATAACAATACATACGTATACCGCAAAAATAAGTATATTAGAAAATATAAACTTTATTCAGCGTCCCCAATTAATATTAAGATAGTTTTTGGAGTTCATATGAAGCGTATAGTATTTCATAATTGTATTAATATAGGGCAAAAATCACTTCTACCTGCAATCGAAAACATTTGTAGGTTTACTTTTTATTGGCACGATTTTTTGCTCACAAACTCTTTTCAAAATAATCACTCAAATTCGTTTTGAACTGATTTTCAAAATATTAGAGTATAGTATTTGTCAAAGCATCATCTTCGAAAGTTTAATGTTAATTCTACTGAGAAATATAAACCAGTTTATAAAGGTTACAAATATTAAAATAGAAAATATACTCTTATGAATCTGAAAGCTTAATCGTGTTATGATAGCAAGATAAATGGTATAAAATGTTCTATGAACTGTTACATTTCATCAGATATACTTGTATTTGAGGTAAATACGTACACATGCCAGTAAAATTGGGGCGTGTACATACATATGTCATGAATTCTGAATAATAATGGAAAAGTTCTTTTGAAGGCACTATAACCACGAAATCAAATATTAATGAAGGGAAAATAGAAATGTTAAACATTATAAAATGAATTAGATGGCAAAGTCAAATTTAATGAGGTTAAACTACTGAGATCTCTAATATTTAGATATTTAGTGACGTAAGTTAATGTTGGACTCTCAAATTATAATAAACGATATTATTAACAAAATAATTAGCAAAAATTATCAATTACAATGCATAACTATTAAAATAATAGAATTTAAATACCTTTTCAAAATATTACATTCTAACAATGTTACCAAAAGTATAGATTTATGATTACATGTAAACTCTAAGCGACTTGCATGTTAAATTGCTATATTATGCATTTTGTATACATATTGAATGCATAATAGTAGCTGCTTGAGCTTAAGATTAATTATAATTAAGAAATTGATTGATATTGAAAGTTGCCCAAATTTACCAAAATAAACTCTAAAGAGTTTCTTGCGGTCAACAACATCTAGACTGCGAATCAAAAAGAAAAAAATATTTGTTTCATTTAAAATTTAGTTATATGTATTATATTTAGAATGACTAATTGTACTTAAACGAGATATACAGAAATACAAAGTTAGTGATGGTATTTTAAAAAACAAAACAAACAAAATGAAAAACAGCATTCGTAAAAACCTATAAAAAGAAACAACAATTTAAATTCAAATACATATAGTAATACACAATTATTAAAATTAAACCCTATTTATTTGTATTATATACCAGTACACCTATATTATTATGGGATATTATACCAGATAATAACCCTGTATTCAGTAGCATGCCAAAATTTTAAACCACTCTTAGAAAATATACTTGAATCGGCAAGAACTTTGAATATACAATATAAAAGAAACTACAATTTTAGCCACTTTAAAAAGAAAAAGACAAACGAATTCCAAACTAGAAACATTCTGTAACTCATAATGAGTAGTGACTAAAATCACCAATAAAATGAAAAAGTATTTCAAGTAAAAATCGAAACATCTTAGTGAAAAAGCACCTTCTAAGAAATTAAAAAAAAAAATCAAAAATTATGCCTGCGTTTTATTTTTTACTCCATATTCGTCAAGAAATTGTTAACATGACAAATTAAAGCTCATAAATAAACATACTCAAAATATCCTTCAACTTCCCAATCCAACATATTGCATTATTAGTTTTTATTATTATCGCATCAGTGTAAATTAAATTAAATTTTTTAATAAAATTAAGTTTTTTCTGTTCAGTATGTTTTCAGTAAGTTTGTGTTTTGTAAAATATTTTGCAAAAAAATTGGTTTGCAAACCATATGTTAGTAACGTAATTCATTTGAACTGAAGTCGGTAATGATTTTTTCAACTGAATAAGTTTCATCAAAATATCAGTTTATAAAACGGATATTAAGAAGTAAGTATTTAAATATTCAGATTCATAAAAGGCTTATGCAATAAAAATATTGAATTTACTTATTCATGTACATTCTTCTATGGTATATAGTATACAAAAATTACGTGTCACGTTTTCTCCGGGATAAGCCCCTAAACTACTGAATCGGTTTTTGTAAACTTAGCACGATGTGCTAAGTTTGATCCATCTCAAAGGATAGGAAACTGTATATCCCAATTACGTTAAAAGTAAACAATTCATAAATAATAAAAAATATATTTCTAAACATAGGCATGTGAATAAAAATTGCCTCAAGTACAATCCCTTTGATTCTTATATTGGTAATTTAGTTGTCGTCTTTATTCGTAAATAATATTTTCACTGAAATCAGTATTTTATTATAATAGTTTTTAATGTCTACCATAGTCACATCAACTCGGGAGCGGATCCATTCAATACACATTTTCCATTTCAATTCAAATGATTTATTTGAAATTGAAATGTACTTTGAAAGATATTTTAATTGAAAACTTTCAGCAAAAAGAAAAAAGAATCTATAATATACAAATATGTATGTAAGTATTATTTCTTTTTGGGAATATTTTTGAGCATAATTATTCGTTGAAAATGGGGATAAGGAAATTGTGGACATTATATATGTAATGTAATTGTTTTATAATCTTGTTTCAATTACTTTCAAAGGTCTTATATTAAGTTGGACCGTTTTTACATGAATTTAAATTTTTTGCAATTTGAGAGGGATGACCATACAAAGTAAGTATTAAGTTTTTTGAATCATGCACTTTTTATACAAGTAGTAGAACGAATTGTAGAAGCTTAATTTCGTAAATATTTTGAAATTGAGGGGCAATCAATTTCTTTGGAGGGCCTTACATTATATTTAATAATAATTTAAAAGGCAAGGAATCTAAGTATTTATTGGTTTGATATATTTTTGGTGTTTTTGAAAGCGTTTAGAGTTGTAGATATACATGTACAAATGGGTACGTATCTACAAATGTTAAAAATGAACTAATCTGTTACATAAAGTCTATTTATGTCTACGAGAACATGTTGTAGTCTTTGGAAATGCACAATTCTACTCCGTTGGTTCAATTCGAATTTATATTATAATAACATACATACCAGTGTGTCCTATTTTGAAATAACATATTACAGCAGTATTCCGAAATGACTAACACATGAATTGTCAGGCCAGTTCGTTGTATCGAATTTTTAAAGGTATGTTTTTCAATAAAAATTAGTAAAATATGCAAAAATTGTAGTTCAATAAATGATTTTATTGGATTATTTGTTAAAAAAGAAAAAACACCAAAGAAGGAGCAATTAAAATCACATATGCAGGAAGTAATGTGCTTAAGAGGCAAATTCATGTGATCAAAATTTTTGCATATCAAAAATATATGTTGTATTTATTATTATTTAAAAAATCGATTAGTCGTCGTTTGTTTCGTTAGAATACGAAGATTACATTTGATGGCTTCTTTAAGTTTTCTGTTGAATATGTACAGAACGGTAGTTTCCGAATCCAATTAACGCACACCGAATTCATAAAATCCAACCTGGTATTTATCTGAGACGCCTAACAGCTCAATAAACTTCTAAGCACATCGTTTGTATTAAAAACTCACACGGTTAGTATGTGTGAGTGTAAAAATGGTATTTTATACCCTGAGCAGGGTATATCGGAATCAAGTGCTTGTATGGAAAACTTTTTCACATGACGAGATATCTTCACGAAATTTGGCATGTATTATTGACCAAACAAGTAAAAGCGATTAACGAAGAAATTGTTCCGATTGGACTACTAGAGATTACAGCTGCCATATAAACTGAACGATCGGAATCAAGTTCCTGTAAGAAATATTTTGTGTTTGTGAAGAGCATTATATCTTCGGTGCAACCCAATCGAAGTTAACGTTTTTTCTTGGTATTTTTGCTTCTGCGATGGTTACGAATATGTCATAGAGAATATACTTTTATTAAAAGTGTTCTGTGAACTCTGAACACTCAGATAGTGAATATTCGGTGCTACCGCAAATTATATTCCTTATAAAAGATATACATTAGTTAACTTTTGTACTTACGTAATTTTCAAAAAAGATCTGGTTTTATAAAAAAGAATAAAAAACATTTAATATGCAATTTAATATAATATTTTTATTAGTCTTTTTTCAATATTAAATGTTGTATCATTTCCAATTTCTTTGTTAACTCACTCATTTCCTCTATTTGCATTTTTTTAATTATTTCATACGATTTTGTTGCTGTATATGCGTGGTTGTGTATATAAAGATTATTAAGATTTATAAGCAATTATTTAATAATACAATACATACTCATTTTTTAGCACAGTTCCAGTTGTTAAGAATTGTCGTCTATATTTTCTTCAAATAACTTCTGGCATTTTATAAAAATTAATAATGTGCTGTTTTTATTCCAGCAATCAATTCTTTGGTATATGTGCTTCTGTTACTTTTTGTTTACCTTTGATCAACATTTTTTCATATAGTAAGGTTTCAAGAAAGAAATTAAAATCATTTTAAATAATTATACATTGTACAAATACCGAAGCGGGAATTTGAAACAAAAAGTCAATACTAATAAAACTTCAGCGGTAACAATTACCTATTTGAAATTTTTTTATAAACTGAATGATAAGAAAAATTTAATCACTGAAGTACATATTTATTACACATATATATACATACGTTCAGTGGGTTTAAAATTCACCCCCTAACTGTTGCATCAAATCATCAAGTTGTAATTTTGAAACTTTAGCAAATGCATTCAGGAAATTGTAATATAAAAAATAATACAAATATACATATATTGATTTTTTTAACAAAAGCGTCATGGTAACATATAAATGCTGTTTTTATGTATATGTAGATACATTTATATTGTAGTTAGTAAGTTAATTCCGCGATTTGCATAATATCTAGACAAATATACATACATACAAGTACAAAGATATAATACCTTTAAATATGAAATAAATAATAATTAAATATGTGAAAGTCATATTTAAATGTATTTACAGTTAATTTTTTTTTTGTTGTTTTGTTTTTGAAACACATATACTTATGTATATGCACACCCACACATTTCAGTACTTCTTGGTTTCGGTATCTATTAAACTAAACCGTATTTTTATAATCAATTAAGCTTTAAGTCGAAAGGGTCAACTGTGACATACATTTCAGATTGAAGATATGTCAAAAAGTTGCAACAATCTTTAGAACAGATTTTATTTTAACTATCATTAACAATGCTGAAGGAGAAACATGTTTTTTACACAAGAATACCCACAAAATGATACGAAATATGATTATGTCATTAATAGTTTGGTTTTAAATTTTACTATACATACATGCATTTATGATGTATAGTTTAATTTAGTTTTCTTTGTTTTATAAGAAAAATATAGACAGGTGCAGCGCATACATGAACACATGTGTTACGATCCACTATACTTATACCTATACAAGTATATTTATCTATTTAATTAAAATTATCGATACAATTTACTATGCACATCGTATAAATACATTAATTTACATTTAAGTTTGTGAAGCCGTTTTTTCAGTTTTCAGTGACATTCGTGTTGGTGCATATTATATATTGTTGTACTTTTCATATTTAGTAAACAACTCTTTAACCTGGAAATATTTTTAATTTATACATACATACATATAAGATACATAAAATTATATAAACAAATTATAATATTTGAAATTAACACATTTAAGTATTTACAATAAAGGTACATAACGACATAGTATAAGAAAAGTAATAAACAATATAATTTTGAATCCTTAATGTAGGTATGTATATGTGATAGTTGGAACACAAACTAATTAATATTAAGTCAATTTCATATACATTATATAAAAGTGTCCACAACTTATAGTTTTAATCAATACTATGTCATTAGATTACTTAATTTTACCATCCACTTAGTCGAAAGAGATGGTATAGAGGGTGTATCGTTGGCCAACTTATAACTTCTTTGTCAGTTTACATTTTATTTCTATTATTGACACAAAATTAAAAATGTCTAGCTTGCAATGTAATTGTTATGTACAATATATAATCATATGTAGACTTTTACACAACTTCGAACAATAGCAAAAACATGTATGCTTTTTCTATAGTTTTTAGTAATTTAACTTGTACACAGTTATGCTCGTACATATTACTCAGTCTTACTGAATCGTTAAATTTTATAATCAAACCCATATCAACCCATTTTATTGGAGTTATCATGCTTAAATATGATCCTCTGATTTACGATTACATGACTTGTTTTTTTCTAAACTGTGTTTACTTTCGATTTCGTACTTTCTTACATCTCTTCATCAAAACAACCACAGCCAATCAATATTTCATGTCATTCTTCTTGTTGGTATATATATATAATTATGTAAGTATCATTCATCTTATTTTAAGCCATTGTAATAATGTTAAGGCTTCGTTTCGGTATGTTTTACAAGAGATAAATTCTTTCATTCGAATCAATGTTATTTTTATATTTCTTTTCAATGCAGTAAATTAAGATTAAGCAATCAGAAGGAAAACTATTAAATAGAAACAATATAATTACTACATATAAAATATAGCTATTTGGCCGCGTCTTCTAGTTTATTGCATTTTCTTAAAGGAATGATGTTTTTTAAATTGTATGTAACTATTTTATTATATTTATGTATGCAGTATATATTTTCTGGTGCAATGAATTGCGAAATTCGAGAGATCTATTGACTATTAACTTTGCAAATATTAGTGTAGATATTTTGTATACCGTACTGTATTATATATTTACCGAATGTAGTACGAATTGAGTTTTGTTATAATTTAAGCCAAATTATTTTGAGATTGTGATGCAATTATTTTATATTTTTATATGTACACATTACATTGTTAGCATTTAAAATTATATTTTAATTTTTCAATATTATTATATAGTTACCATATACTGTTTTTTAATTTCAAAAATTATATAAGTGCTTAAATTGTTAATTGCAATGTTCTATACGATTACACTTTTATGTATTTTTATTTTGTATTATTTCTTTTCGACAGGCAGCAATGTGTAGAACAAGACATATTTGGTACTTCTTTACATTTTTTGTTTCAATTATAAAAAACTTAAAGGTAGAGCATGTAAATAATCAGAACATTAAAAGTTGTCAGTTTTTACGAGTCTGTTATTTCACAGGTTTACGTTATTTTCTAAACGTCTCAGGTATAAAATGCTTTATGTACATAACCTGGTTGAACTTTCGGTAACTAACAATACTTAAATGTATTAGCATTTTATTTGTTTGTACAAAAACAAAAAAAATATATATGTTTATGAATATATGCAATATCAAGTCGTCAGGATTTTTATTATTTTCATATATTCGGACTTTTAAATATAATTAAAAATATTCAAGTATATATGCATATAGATAACGTGCGTACCGTACATTCGATCTGTTATTTAAATAATAATTATTCAAATTGAAAATATAAAAGTTCAAAATATGAGTACTAATATATATTTTTATGCTTGTATTTTTTATAATAGTTTTATGAAAATTATTACCTAATATTTATAAGTTCTGCTCTCTACCAATTCCCTCAAATATTGGCATGGGTTTCCCATATTTTAATTCTCAATAAATTTACATTTTGTGTTAAAAGTGTAAAGAGATTTACTACTTACAATTAGTCTCAAAAAACAGTAAATGCCACTTGTCGTTTAAATAATTTTGCTCGTTTACGCTTTGTCATTCACTTATAATATTTGTATCAATTCTCTGTTTGGATGTATGACTTTTAAATATTTAAATATCCTACTAAGACAGTAGTTTGTTTTGAGGTTTTAGATTTTAAATTTTACTATTACACACAATTTAGGGACAAAAACAATTATGTGTTGGAAATACACATTCACACACAAAACTTTCCCTTACAATTTTCTTTGGTTTCTTCACGCAAAAAGGGTGAAACAAGGACAAATTTAAATAATAATAACAATCGACAGGAAAATATCGCATTTTTAGGTCTATAACTAAATACATTTCTATGTGATATTTTAATCATTATTTAAAATATAATTTTCATGGGCCATAGAAAATCAATTATGATTACTTGTTTATGTAACCAGTTTCTTATGTAAAACTATTATTTAAATTATCTACAGATATAAAACTGGTAATAATATAAATTTATAATATTTAATTGAAAATATCGATTATTGTACGCAAAAATGACAGTTTGTCATATAACTTGTATAACAATTAATCTTTGTATACATTTTTACCACCTACCATTTTTACATTAATTTCGGAGGTTCAAAACCTTTTAAAAGTAGTAATAATTGATACATATAAATTTAGCAACTTTTAGTATAAGGATAAATAAGTCTAATTATAGAATTTGATTATTACAATCTTTTTGAATATTTATGTTTTCACAAATAACATCCGAATACCATATTCACACAAATTTTAATTCGATTTGTTGTCCGATTACAAAAAAACAATGCTCAAACATTCATGTATACTATTTTAATAACTACCTTATGACATAAATATTTTTGTTGTTTTACAAAAATGCACTAATCGAATAAACATTTGTACCACTTAATTGTGATCATAGCCTCTAAAAATTGTTCACTTTCGTCCTTAATCTTATTTTTATATTTACTGCACTTAAGGCGCTGTTTTCCATGTAAATTTTTTCTTATGCAACTACTTCCTTTATATCATCTCTTTATATTAGCATATAATTTACTAACCAGAATTATTAACACATCAATTCACTTTTACTTACTTCATTTTCTTAAATTGAATTTTCTATACGGTGCATCTATAATATTTTGTATTAAATATTATTATTATAATTTTTTTTATATATACTGTACTTTGGGAATGTATTCATATTTTAGTGTGTATATATAAATTCTTATATAACTTTTAATTTGTTTAATTTTTTTGTGTGAGAAAAAATGTAATCACTCCTCTTATGAACCCCGACGGATCACATCAATTTTGAATTCGAATAACATTATCAGCAGCACTAAAATATCAACGGTTTAAGCTACATATTAATTCCGTTGTGGTTCCATTGAGTTTGAATAAAAGGCAATGCACGATGATAACATAAGTTTATTACATAAACTTTATTCTGTCGATTTATTGTGTATGTGTGGACTTTTAGAAAAAATAATAGCAACGTTTTGCCTTTAACTCTTTTTTGCGGTCGGTATATGTATAGATACATATAGATACTTTTAAAAAAATATTAAGAAATGTGTCAATTTTTCACACTACAATGTAAAATTATCTCCGTAATCATCTGTCGGTCTTCATAATTGGGCTGAATGCTTTTTATTAGTCAAAATTGACCATTTTTTATATATAAAAAGTCGCTTTTTCCTGTTAATATAATAATTTTGTTCTATATTATATTATATCATATTTATGTTATATTTATATCATTTTATATTATTTAATTTATAATTTGAACTTATATGAGAGGTATTTCTATATTTCCGAGAGTTTTTGTTCTCCATTATCGCCCTTCGTTTTTTAATCAATTTGATCTCTACATTTTACTTAGTTTGCTTTTGTTTAAATATAATATGTACTCACAAGCAAAGTGTATCGAATGCATTTACATAAAATGCAGTGAAAAAAATCTCATACATAAAATGATGATTTCAAATTAGATATACATATTTTTTTGGAAAAATTATTAATTAGTAATTTTTACTGTTATTGTATGACTGCCACATCTACAATTACATGTACATACTATTTATCGAACAATCGATCCAGCAATTGAATTAAATTTTAAAATATAAAACTCACCTCACTATTCGAGTAAGAATGAAGTACTATAACTCCCTTGATAACTTCAAATATACATATGTATGTGGTTTCATTCGTACTCCCAAGATTACAAGTCACCTAATTGAGAATTCAAATAATAACTGTAAATCAACTGAAAATAGAACATCAAAATGAAATGATTACACGAAATAGTTTTATTATTATATCAACTTTACATTTTTATTAATTTGCATTACAAACTTAAGAAGACAAAAAACGGAAAAGGCTTATATAGTAGAAAAAATTTACTATTAATATTTATTATTAAAAGTTGTAACATTACTGCTATTAACTACAACGACACGAAAGGTATACGTTTGGTGTCTATTTATGGTATACAACGTGTTTAAGAATATCTTTATATAGAGTTACATCCGTAGAAAAACTTAAGGTGTAATTAATAAAAAAAACAATATTTTTATATAATTAAAAAAATAACAATAATTTACCCTTAACAGTTTCTGCACCTACATAAATACATTGCATTTCAGATATACTATGTAACTTTTAAATTAACTAACAAAAATCAAGTAAGAATTCTTTATATTATTTAATGCATATTGTATTTGAAAGATTCATTGCCCTTTTATCCTGTTTAATAAATTAATAAAGCAAACAATAGTGTTTTAGCCACTGAACACCTTAATAATAAAAATTTCATTTTCTTTTTGATTAATTAGACTTATTTAATTAGGCTTTCTAAAGCTATGAATTAACTAGGATTTTACATCTATTTTTTTATTTTACAATAGTATTGGGTAAATTACATGCTATATGTATTTATTGGACTAATATCTCACAATCAAATTATCCTCGTTCGTTTTTTGTTTAGTTACAGAAAAAGGAAAAAACATTTAAAATAACTAATAAATTACAAAAAATTAAATTTATTTATACAAACAATGTTTTACTTCAAATCAATAGAATATAACTGAAAGTGCATAACTAACAAAATCCCCTATATATTATATAAATTGAAAACAAAATTAAGGTTGTATTTCATCTTATATGTGGTATCTAGTGCATTAGTATGTGACTACATTTCAGGAAGTAATTCTATACTAATGGACAATATTTTGCAAGATAACTGAGGGACAAGCTTTAACATTATTTAATGAAAATGCCTTTTTATGTATATTTTAATTCTAAATAAATCAAAATATTAAAATCATAACCGATTAGTAACCACAACTGTGCATTATGTAAAATTTTTCTATTCTAATCATCCAGTGTAAATTTTCTACTTTAAGAATTAAAAAAAAATATTATTGGAAACAAATAACATTTCAAAATTTAAACAATTTAAAACATTTTACTGGAATTAGAAAATTAATAATTATATATGTATGAGTTTTTAAAGTCAAGCGTATTTATGGGTACACGTTGTTTTTGTTTTTTATAAAAGAACGTTGTTCGTAAAATGCTTATCTTGCTTTATAATTTTTGGCTATATTTCTCCAACCGTATCGTACGCCAACATAACTATTACCTATAATTTGCATTGTACAACGTACATTTTTCAATTACTTCATCTACAATTTGTATACTTTTGCGATATTATAGATTTTATAAGTTATTTTGATATCACTGCATTTTTTGTTTGAAACTTTATGCTTGTTTATAAGTTTGTAGCAGATTTGTAATATTTAATTTATAAATTCAATTGAAATTTCAATTTAATATTTTTAGTTGGTGCGGTGCAAAATAGTCAGTTTAAATAATTTTATAACAAAATCGTTTACCGTTTCCCCTTAAATTAATATGCTTATTGTATTAAATTTGACTGTTTTACAGTTCGAAATATTTAAAACTTTAAACATTACTTTCCTTATTGTTTTATAAGAGTTATGTACTTAAACATAACGCTTAATAATTAATTAATTTCCTCAACTTGCACTTGCAAAAATTTAATTATTTTTGAAAGATTTGTATAATATATACACATATACGCATGATCCTTAAATTTTAACACATTTTTACTAAGTAATTAATGTCGTTTCACCCACTATGATTCTTTTCAATTTCAGCTTTGTTTTATGTCGTTCTGACAAATTACACCGTATAACAAATTAGGATTGAAATATTTTATTTAATCTGGCCAGTCCACCTCAATGAGGCTCCCACTAATAGCAATTTTTCCTTTTCCACCGTACATTTGTTTGCAATAAGCGCTATGTTTTTAATATCTACAGTTAATTTTTCTTATTATTGAACTGATGACAACAGGTTTTAATTTCTTTTCGCAATTATGTTTTCCTTTTTCAGTAATTTTTCATATATGTAGATACGTAATATTCAATAATACCTATCAGCTTGGAATTCGATTATGCATATTTGTGGTTCTTAACAAGTTTTTTTTATTGGTCTTGTGATTCTAATATGGTTAAGGTAATATTTTTCATGAAACGAAATATGAAAGATCCTATAATTTATGCAAAATTCTATTTTATATTTACGTAATTGTATGCACATACATACATATATTTAACACATCTTTAATTTTTTTAAGCTATTTTGATATATTTGTAACATTATTATGTAAATAAATGCTAAGATTCTATTGCACCTAGGTACATATTTCTCTTTTTGCTTCCAATTTTCATAATTGAAAAAAAGGTTTATTAACACAAGAAAATAATTTAAATTTTATGATTGCTATATACATATTATTAAATATAATATTTTTTCATCTATTTTTTTCGTTCATGCCAATACGCAGTTCTTTTTATTGTTGAGTTGTCGACGGCCGTTAGTAGTGTATATTGAATTCCAAACTTTTTATGGTCACCTTGTAGCATTGTTGCCAAAGAAATCTTCTGCAATTAAAATATGCCGTAAATTGTAATGTAATAATTTATTTATATTATTCCCTACTCAAAAAGATGTTTATTATGAGTAATGAAGTTTTAGATTAAAAAACAAATTATTAACCAGTTCTGCTAAAGATGAGTTGTATAAATTTGTGAGTTAATAATATCATTCCATAAATTTTCAATTCAAAATATTATGCCTACACTTCTATAAATATATCCATTCAATATTAATTATATATTTGTTACTCATTATACATTTTCTGTTTTTTAGATGTGATAATTATGAATTCTCGTGTTGTAAATAATTATGCTTGGTTACTTACGTGCATCGAAGCTAAAATTCATGGAAGGATCTGGTGTGTTAAGTAGTGCATTTTGGCTAACACCAGTTCCTATCGATCCAGATTGATGTTGTTGCATGCTAAGCGAATTTGTACTATTTAAACCCCCAGAAGTGCCACCACTCATGGGTCCCTGTTGAGCACTGCTCAAGGGACTTTGCGGGGTGGAAGTTATTCGCAGACCGCCAGGACCGCCATTTCCTCCGCCGCCACCTGGCACTCCGTTGCCGCCAGAAGAAGCACCAGCTCCCCCAGCGGCAGCAGCCTGTTGTTGGGCACGTACACTTACTACAGCCCTCAATTCTTGTTTTACGAAATCAGAGGAATTTGCTGCGTTACCTGCTGAAATAACAAAGTAAAAAATAAACATTTAACAAAATTAATCTAAAAAATATATACATTACTTTTTACTCTAATTATTTACAAATATTGTTATTCTGATATGTTTACATGATACGTTATGATATTTATGTAAAAAATAATCCCATTAAATATATAACGATGCATACATATCATATAGTTACAACACAAATGTGTAAAATAAGGACGTTTAATCTAATGTTGATATATCCACCAGTTGGCGCTCAAAATAAAATTATGTTATTTACAACACGAGAATTCATTCCAAATTCGCTATTCTGCAATTTTATTTAAACCATGACTTTGTTAAAATTACTACATATAAAAAAGTAAAGTAATATAAAATTTAATTTTTCTTAGAAATAGAAAGGAATATCAGCTGGTTTATCTCTCAATAATCCACAAAAATAAAGTATCCGAAAAGTTGTAGTTTGCCGATTTCCTATTTTAACCAGTTTGGCCTAATTACTTTTAATTGCATATGTACATCAACTATATTCTTTTAATAAAATAAAGATATTAATTGATGCACCAAATAAGCAATATATAATTTTGTTGTAAAATTTTATAATTTTATAGAAAGTTGTAATAAACTATCGGTTTTGGTCTGTGCATAAAACTAAGGAAATACATAAGGTACAGATTAATGTAGGAAGTAAGGAACAATTATACAAGAAGTTAATTAATGTCAGTAATTATTTCTAGCATACAGAGTCTTTATGTACATCATAAGCATATACAATAATACTGTGAGCTCAACAACGGGGACAATCAAAAATTGTAATATCAAAATAACAATTTGACAAATGCATCATCTTTTTTTAAGAAATATGTTATTAGTAGCTCATTTGCATTTACGATTCGCATTTTGGGTTATGTGAGAAATTAAATAGCTGCAAATAACTTCATTATATTAACAGTTTTGACTATTTTTAGTCACATATACATATAAATAGGATTAATACAGAAGGATTTCAATATACGAAGATTAGAAAATACTTTTTTTAAATTTCATTTTATAAACTCCATAACACCAATTTGAATTAAATAATAAGGCTGCAAAACAATATTGGAAGGAGTTCTAACTTTTTAGATTGAAAATATGTACACATAGTAAACCAGTACTCTTGTGAAAAAATGTGTTAAAATAGTGTATGGTCTTCTTTGTTACATTTTCGGCCAGATAATAAACATAAAAATCGAATATACGCTTATAACGTTAACATCTATATACATATAGTGTATATTTTTGTATTAGATACAAATTTAGGGAATGCACATACTATATGGTACAAATTATATATATTATTTTGTATTCCAAGTTGGTAAACGCTTACCGGCCTGAGCGCGACCATAAAATTCGTTTTGTGTTTGTTGTGAGGCCGCATGAGCAGCATGCTGCATATTATTGTACATCATGCCACTAAAGCCAACAATACCGACACTCCCTCCGACGCTGACACCGCCATTTACGCCGAGGCTTGTGGCGGCGCCATTGCCGCTTGTACCTACAATATTTTCGTGATTTACATTCGCACTGAATGGGCGTGGAGAGCCTGTTTTGGGTTAATACGAGATTTGCATTTTAAGTTCAAAACAATATTTACTGGGCGCATTCAGAATTATTTTTAACACTTTTCTAATATCATAGATTTAAGTTGATAATAAATAAATGTGGAGGACTATAATTGATTCAGTACCCTCCTTGGCGGTTACTGTTTACTGAGTAACTAATATTATAAAGCAAATACGAATAAATAGTCGTGTTCACACTTTTGTGTATCCGGTTTATTGTAATAAGAGTAATTGAAAACACAACCAAAAGCGCGAACATCGCGATTCGGTTGGAATAACCAGAAATAAATGTAAATGAAAAAATATAAATATTTTTAAACATATGGCACATAGAATGCAGGTTAAAAAGTTTAAAGATTAACAAATTTTTTGGCAAAATTAGATTCTATCATTTTTTAATAAATAATATTTGACATCCTGGGTAATACGAGTATATCGAATATAATTATCTTCCAACTTTTCGATACAATTTATGTATTTTGAGTTGTCTTTCGCAAAGTTGTCTAGTAACCAGTATTTTTTCATCCCAAATATATTTGTTTAATTTTTTGATTTATTCGTCCGTAATTGCTTTTGTTTGGATATCTTCTAACTAACAAATGGTTGCTTCGCCATGCGCAAAACAATTACCAACCCACTTTAGCATAAAAAAATTGTCCGATAGCTGCGAAATTAAAAAAATGGTATTTTCAATTCTAATGTTACTTGTTAAAAATTACCTAAACAACCATAACTCAAACTCTAAAAAAATATATGTGAAAATTAAATTTTGTTAAAATCTAAATTAATTCGTTAAAGTGATTGCGAATTGTTTTTAAGTCGTTGATTTGAATTTTGTGATAGTAGAAAGTGAAAAGGTTTAAATTGATGTCTTGTATCTTTGTCATATATATGTAACATTAAAAGGTACAAATTATTTACCTTCTATTTTAGTATCATGCACTTAAACTTAAGAATGTTAAAGAATAGAGAAGTCGCAAATGCTAAATCAAATATTTTTAAGGAAACTTCGGAACAAAACTTCGAAAGGAAAGATACACCACGCAATGAGGGGTACGGCTAATAAAGCTATAAATAGACACATAATGTTCTCACATTAATTATCCATGCGCATGCCTATTTAGATTTGTGTCTAAAATTTCTATATTAATATTGGTAAAAACTTCAGAGGTTATAATGAAATATGCTTATTAAGTAAAGGATAACAATAAAACAATAGTTAAGGCGGCCGTATTCCCACTTTTGATGTAGCATAGATGGTAAGCGCGAGGGAGTCTGGTGCTGCATTCACTCTGAAGGAACGTAGTCCATGTTTTTGTGTACATTCTGTACATATGAAGATAACTTTTGGACTTTTTTGGCAACATCTCGTACCGATAGTTAAGGATTTTGTTCCAAATAGCTCAACACTTTTTTTGCTGTAATCGGAGATACAAATCCTTGTTTTCTACCACTACCGGCGTTTGTTTTGAAAGAAAAGGAGTCACGATATTTTTTATGACGACTAGTGTTTTAGCGATGTCACAATGAGACACACCTGGATTTTTTTCGTGCATATACTTTAGTACATAATATTGTAGTATGAAATAAATAAAAAAAAAAAATATTTTGAGTTGGCACATCAGAAAGTTCTTCAACTTGTAATTTTTAGAAGGAAGGAAGCAGCTTATGGACAATATTTAAATGCCTGGGTTGGTAGTATTTCAAGGCTATTTAATAAAAAAAAATGGATCTGACCCTGATCTAACCTTGCACCTACTCTAATCTTTAAAAATATCTGCTTTTATATTCCACTGATTGAAATACATGTGATTTCTAAACTAAAGATAGTGTCATACATTACACGCCACGGCGTAATAAAAAGTTAAAAGTATTATTAACTCATTAAAGGTAAAAATGGTGTTATAGAAAAATATTAAGCAATAGAAAAAATGATTGTTTTAAAAAAACTGGTATTTTCTTTGCGATGTTTATATCCTTTAAATTAGCGCAAAGATGACACCACGTTAAAAAAATTTTGAGTTAATCGATTTTTAATTGTTCCTCTTTTTTTCAATTAGCTTTTTCTTGCATTCCCCCATCAAGGTTCATAGAGTATAACGTTACGCCTTTCACCATATTGTTACGTAGATAAAAAAATGCACATCATTTTTATTTTAATTCTATATAAGTGAAGTTATTCCGCAGTTTTTCTCCCTAGGGCTTGATATAATATTTGCATGCAATGCTCTAATGCAACTCGGACAGCTTAACTTACAATTGAACAAAATTAGTATGTATTTAATTTTTAAGTGATTAATTCGGCTGTGCAGGGTTTATTACAGTATTCAGTTCAATAAATTTATATATTTATTGTAAGCAAGCGAACAAAGTTTGAATCTCATCAAGAGACCAACAATATCGTGACCACTTCCATGGAAACTCGTTAATTCCAATGGGGACAAATTCAAAGACATTACTGACATTTTTATTTTAAAAGATATTTAATGTCTTCGGAATAATTACCATTAATCAGGGCGGCCCATATTTTACAAAAATATTTAACAAACTCAAGAATAATTTATGAACCATAATGTCGTTTTGTGAGTATGGAACTGGACCGATTATACGGCGTGTTAATTTGTCTCTAGTTCTGCTAGAGTTATTATATAAGATATATATGTAAATTAATATAATTATTCATTGTGAGCACTTGAATGCGCACATAAATCGCAATAACTATCACCGTTATTTATGCTTTTATAAATAAGCGTTATGAGAACAAAATTATTACACAAACAATATACAACCAAGAGCAAATGGTAGGACGCATGAATTATAAATAAATCCATTTTGTTTCTGTCATAACAACTTTGAGCAGATAAACGGTATTTGTTAAAAACAATATGTCAATAAAAAACCTACAAACCTACGTTAGCTAGCGGGCATACTCTGTCTTATTACTTTTTGTGATAAATATTAATAATATAACAATTTTCAATTACTATTAATGTTTTCACATACCAGGTAAATGTTGAGTAGTTTGCGGAACGCTACTCTGGCGCTGCATTCGTTGCATTTGTTGTTGCTGGAATACGTTTGAGCTGGGTCCACCATATGGTGACTGTGGAGATGGTGAATTTGATGTACCACTAAAACCACCAGATTCACCACCTTGAAAAGAATTTTGCCTCTGCAGACCGACATTGGTACTAATATTACTAGTAACTGCATTGCCAGATACACCTCCTCCGTTTGGAGAGTTGAGACTTCGCCGCTGATTCTGATACGGACGTGTTGTATAAGGACCAACACCCTGCTAAAAGAATTAAAAAATAAAATTTAAAAAATTAAAAAGGCCCTCAAAAGTAAATTTTATTCACTAACTTGTAATTGCGCGCTTAACATAGGATTATGTTGTTGCAATGAATGAGCGCGTTGAGTTGTCACATTTCCGCTTAGTTGTACACTTGGCGTACTGACATTACCACCAGCATTCCATTGTTGTGATGACGGCAAGCCTGTAGGTGATTGTACACCACCTGCTCCTCCGCCAAAAGGCGGTTGGCGTGGTGATAGCTGCGGAGTGACATTAGCGTTTGCTGCTTGGGCAGCCTGAAATGCCATCTGTTGTTGTTGCTGGGCATTCACTTGTTGTTGCTGCTGTGAAATATGCTGCTGATGATGGGGCGATAGACGTTGTCCGCTTTGTGAATATTGCGATGCATAACCTATGATTACAGTATAATAAATTACACGTGTCGGTAAAAAATCAAAAATAAAATGCTGGTAACTGACCTGCATTCGTTTGTGGACTGAATGGTGCATTACGCTGCCCTGGACTTAACTGTTGTTGTTGAAGTAAATTCTGTGCAAAATTCGGACTTAGTTGAGAATCCGGCGGCAAGTTGGTACGAGACAAAGCGACGTTTGGCGCTACTGTATTATTCAACAGCGACCCAATGTTGTTGATGTTCGGATTTAGGCCTATAAGACACAGATATTAAAAATATATGAACAAAAGATATGTAATTTTTCTTTTTACATACATAACTGATCTGTGCGCGCTGTTGCACTCTCAGGAACCAAAAGCTGCTGCTTTTGTTGTTGCTGAAGGAGGCGCTCTTTCTGTTGTTGTTGCTGTTGCTGCTGTTGACGAATTCGATACTGCTGATGCGCTGGCAAAACAGAACCTCCAGGTGTCGTTACAGCATTCATTGGCCCCCTGTTACGCGACGCCGAATACATAGGTGGCGGTCGTTGGAAGCTTTGATTGGCGTTGACACGTAGTACCTCCAACATTTGTTGTACCTGAGTTGACTGTTGATTGCCTCCAATGGCAGCCTGCTGCCTTTGCAACATCTGTAGATGATGCTGTAGCTGTAGCTGTTGTTGTTGCTGAGATAAACCCCCTCCACTGCCACTCCCCATTACGTTGCCAGGATAGGCCGGCGGCTGCGGCTGCTGTTGATGATGTTGCTGCTGTTGTAATTGAGATGTCTCGACCATCAATGAATTTTGAATAGCGTTGATAGCCATGCGTTCATTAATCTCTTGCTGCGTTAATCCAGCCAAGGCAGTGGGAGGAGGTGCTGATACAAATGGCCCATCGTCTGAAACGTAGTCCATAACGCTGTCCAAAATCTTAGACAGTTCTGAATCGCCATCAGCGCCGCTAGGAGCGGCTAATTGGGAGTTTGCTTGTGATGTCACTATTGACGCTGTGACATTAGCTGTCCCTGAGGTAGCTGTGGTGTTATGTGGAGATGTTCCGAAGGCGTCCGATGAAGCAAAGTTTATTTGCGGTTGAGATAGTTGTGTTGGCTGCTGATGTGAAGAACGTTGAATGTTACCTAAACACTGTTGTTGTTGTTGCTGTTGTTGTAGGTGTAGTTGTTGCTGATGTTGCTGCTGTTGCAGCGTGAGGTAGGCATCGGAAAATTGTTTGCGCATACTACTGCTCCGTCCACCGGCTCCGACAGAACTGCCTGCACTTATTGATGAGGTCGTCGTCATTGTGCCGCTTTTTGGAGGCATGCCGCCTAGACTGTTCGGCGCTGAAACACTCATAACGCCGAGTGTTGAATTCACGCGGCTTGCTGAAGGCGCAATGTCAGGTATAGTTTTGACTTGAGGTGGTACAGTGACTATAGGATTCTTTGGCGGATTTTCTAACAGCGAGGCAAGCATTTTATTGCTCTCACGCAACTTGGATGGCCGGTCACTTTCGCGTTTTGCTAATATGCCATCATCCGGTTCATTGAGCGAACGCTTGCGAGTTGTAGGGTCACCCTGGTACTTTAAACTTTTTAGTAAATCCTCTTGCGACATGTCCTTGGAGTGATGTTGCCCGTGGTTATGACCGTGTGAATGACTATAGTGACCATCGTCCTTTTGTAGTTGACGCATTAATTCACTTTGTCGACCAAGCGAAGATCCTTTTCCATCATCATCCTCCGATTTTTCGTTAAGCAGCTGTATTAAATATATTTAGAAAAAAGATCTGTGTATTCCAATTCAAGTACATGAGTGTACTCAAACATTTGTGCAGATAGAAAATGGCAGATAAGTGAATGGTTTAAAGGGATGGTGGGGCCTTACTTACCGACAGTAACATGGGATTGCTGGAGTTCGAAGATTTTGGTAATGCACCACCACCAAATAGGCGCGCATTCGATATACCAGCAGCGCCCATTTTGAACATTCCGGACGAACCCCTGTTGCTACCGCCGGCACCTCCACCATCCTTATCTTCATCGGAATTGAGTAGACTCTGATTGTAAAACTTTTGGGAGATCAAAAATATCGCATAAATAATACACGTATGTATTAATGCCTCCTTACAAACTATATTCTTATGAGCAAAGACAAATTATGAATATAACTCTAAACTCACCTTATGGCGCAGGTTAAGGTGATCTTTATCACCATCTGCCGGGTTCATTCCTGAGGTCATTGAATGCGATTTATTCGTCAATAAATGCCGTAAACGCTCTGACTCCGGTTGGGGTGGATTCGGTTGTGCAGATAGTTGACTCATGTTAGCAACAGTGGTAAGTAATGGCGGACCACCATTCGGTAAATTTGCAATACCGCTCAACGCACCACTGGAACCACCTTGAGGTCCAGAATTATTGCCACTTATACTGCTACTGCTGTTTATGCTAGCGTTCATGTGGTCTTTATCATTATTTTTATCACTTGTTTCGAACGCCGGAAAACCAAAACCAAACGGCCCTCCACTAACCCCGGGGCCAGCAGATGACGGCTGACTTGTATTTGACTGAGGAGAAGGCAAGCTCGCAGCTGAATGTGACGACAGTTGATATGGTGTCGATGGTGAAGCACATACTGCCGGACTGAATCCATGTCCCGCTGACGGTGGACGCGGAGTGCTTACCGGGGTAGTAACAGAAGCGCGAGAGTTTGGACGCGAATCCGTCCAACCAGTGGCGTCCATTTCAAAACTGGAATGTGCCAAGTCAAAATCAAAGGGGTCGGAACTATAGAAAATCGTTGCCTCGGGTCCAGCAGGCGATGCGGTAAACGAATTGACCAGGTTGGAATTATTCGAAGTTGATGCCGATGTGGCTACAGCAGGATTGTTACGTTGTGTACCACTTGCTGTACCATTGATAACAGCTGAAGTCATCAGTGGTCCACCCACATTAGTAGTTTGCGTGGTGTGGGGTGGCATACCACCACCTCCAACTAGTCCGCCTAACATATGTGCACCGCTACTTACACTTGCTAAAGCTGAGGCCGACGACGAGGAGCATGACGAATTGTTATTAACAAGTGAATCCAAGGGCAGGGAAAGAGGCGAAACTAACGATGGACTAGGTGACATTGTTGACAAACTGCTAGATGGCATCATACTACTGTTTCCGATACCTCCGATGTTTAATCCACTTATACCTCCTCCGCCTATATCGTTATCCGAATTAAGAATTGTTTGCAGAGACATTATATAATCGCCCTCCGTTTGCGACTGATTTAAAAAAAGTCGTGAGTTCGCCTTAACATGGACATAAACATCGGGTGCGCCGAGACGCAATCTAAATGGACGTGACATCACATTCGCAATGGGAGGATTAATCAGTGTTGCAGGCGTTCCACCAGGTGAGTGTGCTGACGGCGAGTTCATCAAATGGACTGACCCAGCTGACTCTTGAACTTCGCGTAAATGTGATTTTAGAGCATTTAAGTCTTGCGGATGACAAAGATCCTGCAATAGCCGTCCCAACCAACTACTCAGATGCTGACGATAGGGTTCACGAAGTGCCGTAACATCCAAATTGAGTATCTTGCCGTGTACGTCGAGTTTAAAAGTTAAATGCTCTATGGCCTGCGGTTGTATCTGCTGTATGGCCGGCTCATCTTCGGGACGGGTAATCAAACACAATATGGAGGACGTTGTGTCACCATCGTCTAAAATTTATGTAATTAGCAAACGATAAACTTAAACAACTAATATCCTACCTTTCATCGGTGTTGCTAACAGCATAACTTCCTCATACTTCTCGGGGTTTATGTGTTGTCCGACAGTTTTCTGTTCTAAAGCATCGTTTTGGTGTGCCATAGATGTTTGAGTAGCCGAACGCAAATCTTTGACTAGCATTCGGACTTTAGCTGCTATATTTCTTTTAGCTTTAGCACTCCCTGGACCTAGCGAAGCTGTTGAATGTTGCGAATTTGTACCACTATTCGCATCTTCCAAATCATTCCAGCCACTTTGGCTACCGCTACCACAACCAATGTCAGCGGTTGCATTTCCGCTAACTCCATACGGCATATTATTTATAATTGGATCTAATTTCGCATGATCGCCGGAGTGTAGGTACTGATATAGGGGTTTACGATACAGTTCCTGTTTGTCATAGCCGATTAGTTCTCGTATATTCTGCGTACACGACTCGATTATCCCGTCCGCAGTTACTTGTAAAAGCACCCAATCGACTGAAGAGAGGTAATGTTCCAACGCCTCAAAATAGGCAGATATTTCGGGCACCTGACCGTTAAGCAGTGATGGCTCCGGTAACGGGGGTTCGGTCGATGAAACGTCACCTTGTTGTACTGGATGGATAGAGCAATTGTCAGTTGCACATCGTAAACAACGTGTAGAGGGTGTATTATTTCGATTTTCGTTGCTTTTAGAAGTTGAGCTGCTATTATTGTTATTAGGAGTGGTCGAATTGAGAGCTGAAGAAGCAGTAGTTGACGTTGAGGAAGAAATATCACGGCTTTGGCCTTTGTCACAAAACTCACGATACTGAAAAAAATAGGAATAATTATAAGCCAATGACGGGACACAAATTCATTGTAGTGTATATTGTATTTATCTAACTGGACTTTACGAAAATATGTATAATCAAGGATTCGCAAAACATATGTATTTAAATTAAATTAATAAAAATTATATAAATGGATAAAGTTTACCGCAATAAACGTTTAAAGTGAATCCACAGTTGCAATATTCAGATGTGTACAAGGATCTCAAACTGTTTATATACAAGTATGTATGTATGAAAGCAAATGTATTTCTGCAAAGATTATCTGACTATTTATGGAATAAGTCTTGTTATTATAAATGAAGTTGTACATTTTATCATAAATCATACACAAGTTTGACAATTCTTCCGAAGAACAACCACTGTTGGAAAAAAAAACTACGATTTTAGACTTTGCCTGGGCCACGAGTCACACACACACTTAACCAACTCCACTATGAAAAACTTGTTACTATTTGGAAAGTACAAAATAGTTAAGTTTAATTTCAGTTATAGAATCCTTTGGTTAATATTTTAAATAAAATAAATTTGTATTATGACTTTATAGAATCTTTATAATTATTTTTGTTTAGGTACTCTTTGGGCCAATATATGCAAATTGTTTCTTTTCTACTATATTTGCCGCTGCAACCTCTCAACGATTTCGAACCTCTACAACGAATGAATTAAAATTTATAGTATGCAAGAAAAAGAGAAAAGCGCACATTGTGAAAACGAAAAATATTGCACCGATCAACGCAATCATAACAAAAACAAATAAAGAATCAGCATGTACACAAGAACAAACGAAACGAAATAAGAGAAGATTTAAAACATAATAGCGTTTGGGAGTGCGAATGTTAAACTAAGGCAAAGTGGGATCTAGCTCATGAAGCTCCACTACCAAACAAAAAAACCTCAAAAATGAAACCCACATAAGCGATATCTTTTGCAAAAACAACTGTTGAAGCAACGAACAATCGCAAACTGAGAACGACGAAATACATTCAATGCTGACGATACAACACAACGATGGCGACAACTTTGACAATGAGTAGACGTACTTATACACGAAGCGAAGGTAATTAAATTGTACATATTACGCCAGCCAGATATATGTATGTATGAACATACATATGCACATGTGATTATCGAGGCAACTATAGTTACAGATAGGAAGATAATAAAACAGGGCATAATGAGTAAAATGCTACTTATTTTTTGATATTTTTTGAAAGTTTTAAGAGCAATCACATTTGAACATTTAACAACTATGTAATTGATATAAAGCAAATGTTAGTTTCAATCGTATATTAATAAAACTTAAAAAACATTATTTTATTCACACAATATCACCTTAGTCGACAGATTTCTTAATTTTCTTCAAACCGACTCTTTATTCAGTAAAAACAACAACAAAAATTATGTAATGATGTCATATGCAACCATATGAGCTTGAAAATAATTTCTCATATTAACTTGAACAACCAGAGCAATCACGATCATGGTGCTTAGGTAGCCGGCATCTCCTATACGAGTATATGGATGAAACAATAGAGCTTTTTGGATAAAGCTTGCGGGAGCCGGTATCCGTTTAACTGAAAGGCGAAAGCGGAATATGCAGAACTGTGTAATATAAATTTAACTTATGCCCACATAACGACATAGTCAAAATTATAAAGTTGATAATCCCTTGATGATATTTAATACATATTCAGTTTTAATATAATGTTATGATATCGAATGAAATACAAACGTACAAAATACTAGCAAGAACATGTAATTTATTCATATAAATATTAAAATGGTAAGAAAAAGAACACACTCAGCATTTACAGCGCCATTCTACAACCCCAACGATATTCTAATGAACACGAAAATTTAATTAAAGTATGTAATACATATAAACACACTAATAATACCAAAAGAAGAAACTCTAACAGAAATAAACACCTTTGCACCTCTAGAAACTCAAAACAAGCCCAGTCGAATGAACATACATATGTACACATGTATATAGTTCGTTGATCTGCTTATTTTGTTGTTATTCGGTTGGAATAAGTCTTTTTAAGTTTCCTTTATTGTATTCTTCACCTATTATATTTTGCAATGTTGTTACAAACTTTTGAATTTGCCAAAGAGGAAGGGAGAACAAATACAGCACATGTTCAGAAGAATATAAAACATACGCAGAGAAATATTGAGATAAGTATAAATCAGTGGTGGTGGAGATCACCGAAATTAATGAATGTGAGCAACAAAATAACACACATGCATATACGGCGTTCACCAACTTTGTTTATTATGAGTCTATTTATTCCTTAGAAATACAATACACTTGTGTGCCTTTTTTTTCTTAGTAGGACATTCATGATTGCGAGAGCAAATCACCATTTAAAATTAAACAAGTTGGAAGTGATATTTTTTTAATTCAAAAGAATTAATTTATGGTATTTTTTATTTTAATTTAAACGATATATTTTTTTATGAAGACAGAAAAAGATGTCAATTGAAAAAGTTTTTCATACACTTGATTCCGATCGTTCAGTTTGTATGGCAGCTATATGCTATAGTGATCTGATATAGGCGGTTCCGAAAAATTAGCAAATTTTTGGAAAGAAAAAGGCGTATGCAAAATTTCAGACCGATATCTTATCAACTGAGGGACTTATTCGCGTATATGCAGACAGATGGACATGGCTAAATGGACGCAACTCGTCATGCTGTTCATTTATTTATATTATATCTTGTATGTATTTTATAGGGTCTTTGACTTATCCTTCTGGGTGTTACAAACTCCGTGACAAACTTAATATACCCTTTAGGGTAGAATCAACAGACAAATTGTGGCCAATTCAGTACCTTATAATTTAACATTTACTGAAAAAAATCGTATAAATTTATTCGACATGCAGCACTAACGCTGACACTAAATGGTGTCTTTGTATTTCACCACTTCATATACAGACTTTATTTAAGCCTATTTTTTCATATTAGTTATTAATGATACGTATCTTTTAATAATAAGATTTAAGTTATTTATTTTTATTTATGTTCTTGTATTATAGTGAGTACAATAAACTGTTTTTGCCGTTTCATTTATAATTGTTTACTTTTTCCTTTGGTGAAGTTAATCAAAGCATAATATAGATTCTTAGTAAAAATTTTATAACAAGTGGAATGTAACGCTTGATCGATGTAATTTGAAAAAATAATGCTGTAAACACTCACCGACTTAACCATAGAACATTTCCTTGTCCGACTCAACCGCATTCTCTTTTAACACATTTTTAATTAACATTTACATTTTGAATTCATTAAAAAATAAAGTATTAAGCATTTAAAATTTTTGCGCTTTTTAGACTGCGACCACAGGTGGCTTTACCAACTGATTTCTGACCGATGCAAACCACGAGTTGGGAATTTGCTAGGTATTTATGCACACACAATTATATCTATCACAATTGAAAAGATGTTTGAAAATTTACTTACCGTTTTCACAACTTGGTTCAATATTGCTGCCTTGTCTGGTTTCGTTGAAGCTGTATCACCGCGTTTGTTGAGTTGTAAAAATTCGGACAATTGCTCGATATAATTGTTTTCCAATTCGCGACGCCTTTTCTCGTTATTACATTTATTAATCTGTGATTGTGGCTAGATTATTTCATAACAATATGTTAGTTATATAAAATATTTATACATTTAAGTTTAAAATATATAATTATATACATATAATATTTTATTTGATTTTAATTATATATAAAAACCTTACAACTCTCTGAAAAAATTAAATGTATATAATTCCTTTTTATATACCTTTTTTTTTGTTATGTGTATAGCTCTAATAATACAAAATATATTAACTACATAAAGCTATTTTACTATTGCTATCTGCTTTACGAATAAATTCATAAGCATGTTGGACACTTTACTTACGGAAGCTCTTTACAAAAAATAAAAAAAATATTAGATCAAGAAAGCTCTCGAACAAGTGTTGTTAAGATACAGTACAGATTCTACAGAAATATTGTCCCTTAAGTACTAAGCCTCACCACCCGATGGCGCCACTATCATAAAGGAACCTTACTATCATATACTATAAGTAGTTTTGTTTTGACCGCATATGGTCAATTTGTGTCCACGGATTTAAAAAAAATCAAACAGCGCTTGGGTGCTGATTATGGCGACACTTCCCCTGGCAATTGTAAGAAATTGGCTTAACGAGTTTCAAAATGGACCACGTACAGGGGACTCGAAAACTCCTACCACGGAGAATAACGTGATAAAAGTTCACAAACTAAGGTTTGCAAGAATCTCAAAATGACGCATAGTATTGTACATAGTCCGCAAAAAAATATTGGAAAAAGCTGTTGACGCGATGGGTGCCGCGTTTGCTAATGTTCGACAAACAGGGTAACCGTAACATTACTTTATGCGCAATACGAAGGAGTTTCCGTGTCATTTTGTGATCGTCGACGAAACATAGATTTGAAAAAGTCCTTTGGTGGACAGAAATTTTAATCGAATAAGTAAGTTATCGCCATCACAGAGGATTTTTTCTTAGATCTCGAGCGTCGCTGGGTCAAGTATATCGAACCCAAAATTTTTTTTACAATACTTATAGAACCGTCCCCGAATAATCTAAATTTTTCATGAAACAGTACCGTTTTTTCAATAATTTCGTTGTTCTTTTGTAGGCTAAGTACTTATAGAGCCGTCCTCGAATAATCTACATTTTTCATAAAACAGTATTTTTAACATATTGCTAAATATAATTTTATATATTACCTACCAAATTGGCTTTCGGATCAGTTTTTCTTCTAATTTTTCGAGTCGGCGTCGCTGGATTGTTTGAGATTGGCGAAGCCACTGCATTCATGGTGATTGAATTTTGTAGTGCGGCGGCTAAACTTACAGTTGTTGCAGCCTTCTGTCGCAGTATTAAATTAAAATTGTTGCTATTTTTATGGTGGTTATTGTTCACTAAATAGCTGTTATTGTTGTTTTGTATGTTATGCAGCAATAAGCTGTTTTGTTGTTGCAATTGTAATTGTTGTTGTTGCAATGGAAGTGCTTGACTTCTAACGCTCGTGCTGCCGTTGTTATTTGGGTTATTATTGACGTTTTTTACTTGATAATTTGTAATTGTTTTTTGAGCCGAAATACTATTGTTACTGTCACCAGCAGAAATTGGGCTTGATAACAGTACACCAGCAAAACCTCCAGTTCCACCGGTACTCGTTCCAGTAAGGGACGCACACGGCGGTATTGAGGGTACCAGACCCACACCTAAGGACGTTACTACACTACCAATGCTGGCTGGTGAAACAGTAACAGCGGCTGTGGCGGCGGCTGGCGATGAGAGAGGCACCTTGTATATAAGACTGGAAGTGGTTGCTGTTGTTGCTCTAGCCGTTGATGTTGTTGAAAAGCCGAAAGAAGTGGTCGGTTGAATGGCAGTTGTAGTTGGACTACTTCTGTTCTTGAAGAACACAATATTCGAGCTAATATTGTTGTCAATATTAAGAGGGACAGCCGTGTTTGATGAATTTTTTGTGATTGGTGATAACGATGAGATTTCTCTGTTATTTGCAACGATACTAGTAATATTGTTGTTGCTATTATTTGTGTTTGGTGCCCACGAATCTGGTAAATCACATGGGCCAAGCCTGTAAGAGACAGAAAATTATAGATATTTATGTGGATCAATAAGTAACTAAGCAGCAACAAAATATCGTAACAAAATGTAGCTAATATCTTTGATGCCAAATAAATCGGTTATTACGTAAAATATTTAAATAATATGTTATTTTAAATATATTAAAACTTGTCGTTCGTTCTTCTACTTCTCAAATACTCAATAAATTGTATCCCTTTGGTTGTCTTACTGCATACCTATATCGATGTGAACTAAGATATTTTCATAAAAATAACGAGAAATTTTTATTAGTATTATGTGATTTAAAAGTAAAAAGTAGTGATATGCTTTTGTCCCCCATCAATAATATGATAAATTGACATGTGTTAGGAAGTTTTTTTTTATATATTGTAGATATTTCAATACATAATATACACTATAGTATTATACTGACTTATTCACAATTGACGATTCACAATTTCGTTTTATAACGATTGTTTTCATATGCAATATTTTGTTTCCATAAACACAAAACTGCAGACACCGTCTGGACATCTGTATTTTAACATATAGATATTTTCCATCGTTCTGGTTGATTTTACATTGTATATTATGATTAAGCTGGGAAGAGATTTTGAAATATTGCACACTCTGTTAATCCTCACAAATGGCGAGAGTATCTGAATTTTGTTTGCAGAAAAATATAACTTTTTACTATATATAATAAAACTAAACAAAACTTAGGAAGCAACTTATCGTCAAAGTAAATAATATGAGCATTCGCAGCTTTAACTTAAATTAATATCTGTATGTACAAGTAGGTACCATATATGCATATTTATGTAAACACAAATGTTATACGAAACGATGCCAGTAGGTCAGAGTCGACTGAAACAGTAATACCGTCAACGGCATTGTCTATAACTACAAAAATTACTTCTCTATGCTGAGCGTACAGCGATGCAATTGAAAAAGTATCAATACTATTTATAAGAGAACATACTTGTAGAGGTAGTATTTATCAAACAATACTAATTACTACTTAGTTCGCTAGTTGATTTTTTTGCCACAAGGCCACTAATTTTGATTCTGGTTATGGTTTTGTGTATTGGAGCTCAATTCGAAATAACTTCTGGTATACCTTATATATAAATAATATACCACTGTAATCAAAAAGTAAGGTGAATTTCTTTGTAAAATATAAATTCTATTTATATACTCTCGCAAAGTCAAACGGTATGCTTGTTTGAGATTGCTTTATATATTTTGCTTGATTTGTATAGTGGAAAGTAAAAGAATCAGATGGAATTTAAAATGGTGTTATATAAGAGGTAGGCGTGGTTGTAATCCGATTTCGCCCATTTTCGCACTATAACATAAAAATATGAAAAGAATGTACCGAATTTGGTTAAAATCGGTTAAGCAGAACCCGATATATGCGTTTTCACCCAAAAGTGGGCGATGCCACGCCCACCGTCTAATTTTCGAGCACGATTTCCTTCACTATTTTGTTGTTAATGTTAGACGTCTAAGAACGACCGGAATGAGGCATGTCTTCGACGATTTCTCGACCATACTTAAAGGCTTTGTAGCAGTCGTAGACTTGGGTTTTCGATAGAATAGATCATACATTCGCAACGATTCCGAATTTGATGCAAAATCTTTGTTCAATCTTTTTTTCCGTTGTAAAAATCGCAAAACAAACTAAATGACAGATCGCTCATTTTTCGCATAGTAATTAAGGACAGTACTACCAACTTAACAAAAACAAAAATTCAGCGCGGGTGGTTTAAATGACAATTTGCGGAAACTTTCTGATCACAATGTATGTATCATAAGAAATTTACGTCACTTATAATGTCGTGATCTATGGAAATAATCTCAAAGGATTATTTTAAAAATTGTTTACTTATAAACTAAAATTCATATACAGAACGTAGTTTTAGTCCATCTTTTTAGATTTTAACAGTGCTAAAAGCCGATCATGAACATATTAGCTGTCAAATTTAGTTTAATTTATATGAATTCATCAATATATCTTAATATTAACTGAACTAACTATTGCTATTAGTCTCGATATCTTGATTTTGATAGACGTACATATATAAACTTATATCTTCCTCGTTTATTTGTATGTATTGCCAACCACCATAAAAGCGTTTTCAGTGGAATTCATACATAGTATGCTTCCTTATAATTTACAATTAAATAAATAGTGTAACAGCTGTTCCGTGAGGGGGTAATCTCTTTTAAATAAATCTGCAGTATGTACTTTGTCATAAGGTTCTTTTCTGTAAGTTTTAACAGATTTACATATGGGCTTAAAAGTTAACTTAATTCCGTACCCGAAAGGGGTTTTCCAAATTTGTTTTGCACATATTTTTCAATTTTCTGCTTGCATCACTTTGTTTGACTTTATAGATAGTTAGTAGATTGCTGTTTTTCCCATGGCAAAACTTTGTATCCACTTACATTGTTTGATTTTTTGTTCACAGGCTATAATTCTATTCCTATATGTCTTATAAAGATAATACTTTCAGCCTGGTGGCTATATTGTATTATTTCTTGTTCTGCGAGATTATTTGGAACAATTTGTACTGTATATATTTTTATATTTTTTAAACTGGCTAAATTGTATTACTATTAGAATGTAATTTACAAATAAACATGCATTTAAAACTAATAGATTTAACATAACATTTACATTTAACAGACGTTGCACCGTTCTGGCCTCAACATCCTTTGTATTGACGTTAACAGTTATGTAAATAAAACTTTTTTCTAAAATTTCTTTATACATATAATATTTATATTCATAGATAACTATTATTTTAGCTGCATGCTTATAAGCAATAACAATAAACAGAGAGCAGACTATTCTCTTTTCATATGATGAGCAACATTTTTATGGGGACGTCTATCAAAGTCCGGACGTCTATCATAAGAATCATTTTTTTCTTTGACAAATAAATCAGGAAAAAATATTGAATGTATATCTCGCGGACCGGTTTCATATTGGCATTTATAGATTTAAATTGGTGAATTAGTTTGAAGTTAAGTTGACATAATTGAAATCAGACCACACTTTGATTATTTTACGATGTTATAAACAATCAATAGGTGAACCAAACCAATAATCCATTTTTGTCGAACGGCGTTATTTATGCAGATTTAAAGCATCTACTCTTAACTTATTTGATAATTACGATTATATGTAATATACTATATATGAATAGACATTAGCTGGTTACTCATATCACCTGCCAGTACAGCGTAATACCCATAACAATGTGGTGTGGTATGTTGCAGTTATTACTGAAATGAGATGGTAGCACTGGCATGCACTTGCTGTACAGAGAGAAAATTTGCGAGAGAATATCTACATATGCGCGCTTATACTAACTTATAACACCGCAATACTCTTTAGCGCTCCGTCGTTTACAGAAAGTGGGTCATGGATGGTGGAAAAAACGTAAGCAAAGTGGGTCATGAATTTTGTTTCTCTCATATTCAAGTGTAATTCGATTTTATTTCTTGCAATATTTTCGATAAGCAAGCAAAATTGTTATTCAAACATATTTTTAACAAAACAAACGTTTATTTGAATGTTATTTATTAATGAAAAATAGTGGTTAATCAATCAAAATCTCTGTTAAGAAGACATCGCAATTTAAAGTTAAACAGCTGTTTCTCAAATAATTATAAACGTTTAAAGCGAAGACAATTAAATTAGATGCAGTTCCTTTCTTGAAAGGTTGAGTCATAAGTAAGAATGGAATATCTCCATTTTTTGAACTTAGCCTCCGAAATCGAAATATTTGCCTACGAATTTCGGAATTGAGCTTACTGAAAAGATCATTAATAATTACAAATAATTACTTAGCATGCATAATTTACGTATTCATCTTATTTCAATGGTGTATAACAATTTTACCCAAGCTTATACTATGTATGTTATATTCTACAAAAAGCGGGAGAATTACTTTTTCACTTATAACTCGAACTCTCGAACCACATTGGTTCAGTCCAATACCCAAAAAAAACCGATTTGCCGAATAGTGTAACATATTAATACCTATGTATGTATATTATGTATTTACACATAATATATCCGAAGACGAATAATCTCTTCAAATTGTTCAAATTTTTCTAATAGCTTTAAAATAATTCCCAAATTTGCGATTTATTTTCTTCATCCCATGCACATGTCTCCTGAAAACTGGAAATTCTACTGTTTATAGATTATTTTCACATATTAATGCTGTCACCTTCAAAATAGTCCCCATTCGCTATTATGCACTTATGCCAGCGCTTCTTTTAATCGTCGAAACACTTCTCAAACTCGATTTTTAGGATAGCCTTCAGTTCTTTTAGCGATTTTCATTTATCTTGTAAAACGAGGACTTAAAGGATATATTTATTTTTGGAAATAGGGAATAGCCACACGGAAGTATGTTTTGGCCAAAAATTTGCGAACAAGCAACTAGGTGTGAGCTTTCAACAACCGAAAATCACCAAGCTCATTAAAGCATGTCTAACCTTAGCGACTGTTACATACAAAGTAAGCAATGAATACAGCTGAAAATTGTATCTTACTTCGCATGTATGTACCATATATCAACATAATTTAAAAAAATCTAAATAAACCCTCCAAATCCGCGAAATTTTAAATTTACGAAAATAAAAAAAAATCTGATAAGAAACCAAATCTCTGGGAACGTTACGTTTGGATAGATGTATAATAGATTTAAATTACATATTAACATATGTAAGTGTTGATACTAGATGAAACCTTAATCGAAAAGTCCAGAAACTCAGTTATTAACTTATAAATTTTGAAACTAACTATCCGAAAAAAATCTACGATTAGCTCCGGAAACCTAACCCCTCGAATGAAAAAAAGAAGGATGAGCACTTGAAAGATTATTCTTTTATAAATGTTATTATCTACTTTTTAGGAACTAAATGTATCCTAAATTACAATCGCAATGATTACAGATTAGAATTTATTTCAACCTCAAATACTTGTGCTATTACTTAAAAATTACTTGCAAAGAAAGGCTTTCTAGGAGATAGCCAAAGCGACGTGCACAAAACAAAAATAGTTATACCATTAATAACTTCATTTGTCATTCTGGAAATGGAAATGGAATATGACAGATATTTTTCATGAATTGACCAGAATGTCAGATAAATAAAAATATGTTATGAATATGGTGATTCTTCTCTAGCGCTCATTAGAATGCCAATATTAAGAGTTATGTAGTACCTAAACTGTGGCAGTAACAAAGTTAATGATCAGGGTATGAAAGCAGAAAAAAGAAAATAAATAATTCTATGCCTGATAATAAAACCTCTACAAATAAATGAGGGAAGTGTACAGTAAAAGTCGTTTCTCTCAAAAGACAGCGAACGACCTACACAATACAAAACAGTACAAGGTAATACAAGTTAATGCAAAAAAAAGTTGTAGCGCTAGAATGACGAAACAAACCAGACCAACAGAGCCAACTAATATGATACATAAACACACATATGTACATATGTATATTCTTACAAAGAAGAAGGAAAAATCCAAGTCAAAAACGAATAATGGAGATAGTGGCGACTACTGCAGTTGAGAATTGGCTAAAAGTCGATAAACAAGAGAATAAAGAGCATATCCAATATAAAAAGCAAATGCGAAAAATTTCAGTGTGTTGACTTATCTGCAAAATATTTTCAATGACATTGGCAATTTGTAACTCTTTAAATATTTTAACTTTAAAAACGGATTGCAAATGAGCTCTTACTTAATTTCGAATTCGAGTTAATCATTATTGGGCGTTTGGTAAAGAGAATGAGAGAAACATGATTAACAGGATTGAGGAAATATACTATATACACACATATGTATGTGTATGTACGTTTCACAATTTAAGAGAAATCTATAAATTAAGCAGAGTGTTAATATACTCCAACATATGAACATATAAATCAACGGGCACACATTTTTTTCATTACTCACATATAAAACTTATATTATATTAGTGTTCTTACTACTAATGTTATTTGTTAAATTATTTTTTTATACCATATTTTTGTATTTTTTGATATTTAATACAGTTCAAATTATCTATAAATTATACGTTTTCCTCCAGATCTTATCCTCCAGATAGTATAACTAACTCGCTCTCGAATTTATCGTTTCTTTTGTTTGATGCGTAACAAGCTATATACTCTGAAAGATACTTCGTTAACATGTGTATGGTATTTAGATAAACATATGCATTTACGTGTATGCATTTTAACACATATCCATGTAGATTAGTATATGCTTATATATATCAATGTTAATTCTCGTATAAACACATTGAGTGATTTTTACTGTGTCGTGTAGGTCGGTGTATTAATGCATACGTTTTTCCACGTTAGTGAAGAGAAAACATTTACCTATTTGTATTGATTAAATTATATTCAGAATTAAAAAGGGAAATGCTAAATAATATATGTACATATTACCATTGAGAAAATAACTGAACGCTCAGTTTTGTTATAATAAATATTACATACGAATATGTGTCTTTTACTTTCGACTTTCCGTAAAACAGGCGGTTGAGATATGAAGATACGAACAGCAAAACAAATAGATGAACAGAACAGAAGTCGTGAGAATGACAGTATAAAGTAAAGAGTAAGAAAGCTGTCGACTAAACAAAATGGCAAAATGTCAATGTCCTGCGCTGACAGTACAACTAAAGAGCAAATTCTTGGTAATCGAGAGAGCGTTGAAAAAGTAATTCAGTAAAATATCAAAAGCTTTTCCAAAACACTTAACTAATTTGAGTTTAGAGCGCCGTTAATTATACGCTAGTGCTAGCTATTGTGGCAACTATATGGTGAATCTTAGGTGTAATTGCTTGTACTCTCTCTGTGCAATTCATTGTGAGACTGCCGTGCTTTCGTATTGACTTAGCATATGTATGTGTTTGTGCACTTCGGAATTGCGTCGCAATTTTTCTTGGCGTTTATACCTCTTTCTCACTTAAATGTTAACATCAGTACAAAAGGTAATTGCATTACGTTTGCTTTCGTCAAATAATCACAAGGGTTGCAAGAAGTGTATTTTTAAATTACGTGTTAAACATCAACGGAGCATACTAAATTTTTTTTTATAACAATAAATTAATTAATAGTACAATATAAAACAACTTTTCGTTATAGAAAAAGTTGCAACGACCTTCGAGATTCTTGGCAATCATTATTGAACTTCCGAGTGTACTCGTATTTTCTCCATAGAATATTTAAGAAAAACAACGACTATAGCCACAATTATACACTGGCCAAAAAAAGTATTCGACATATATATGTATTTTTTTTTATTTGAAATAATCCTTAATATAAACAAATAAAAGATCAAATAACAGTGTTTTTTATAGCAAACATTTATTTAATTTGTAACTTGATGAGTTTTATGACAATAAAGACAACAAAACTAACCAAAAAGGCACAAACACCAAATAACTCCAAAATAAAAAGCAAAAAAAATATTGATTAATACATTAGTATGTACGATATATTTTTATTGCTTCCATTTTCGGGATAGTTTAGCTTTTGTGCGTTTTTGGTTAGTTTTGTTGTTTTGATTATCATTAAATTCATCAAGTTACAAAATAAATAAATGTTTGCTCTAAAAACAGTGTTATTTGAATTTTTCTTTGTTTATATTAAGGATTATTTCACAAATAAATAAAAAAATGTATGTAAATGTCAATAAAAATTTAATTTGTAAAAAATAAATGCTAGAATCCCACACTGCTATATATTATATAATATTAGGTATAGATCTAGAATGATATTCAACTACATAGAAAATACTTGAATCGATGAAGTGAAATTTGGAAGAAAGAAAGAAGTATTAAGAATTTGAGTTTTCTATCAACACATATTAGAAAACAACAAAAATAAAAATAGTTAAAGGTGGGCTAAGTTCGGCTGAAATCGAACACTTTATGCTCTTGCAATTTGCAAGAAACACAGTCTGGGAAATACTTTCAGGTTTGGCAGTTTGGCGAACATTGTATACTCTCGCAACTTGCAAGGATCCAGGCCGAGGGAATACCTTAGGGTGTTGGCAAAACTTTAATTTAATAAATTTTGCGAAAGAATTCAGCATTCATTTTTCGACGAAATCGTGAATGGATTACAATAAAATTCAATTATTTTACTAACTTATATTATACAGGTTAGTTGAAAAGTTTCTGTGATCGAAATGAAAAATACTGTTTTTGGTACGAAATATATTTTTTTAGGTTCACGTTTCTGAAGAGGTAGTAGTCGCTGGGAGCCAAATCTGGTGAATACGGTGGATGCTCTAGCAATTCGTACTTTAATTCGTTGAATTTAGTCATTGTTAAGCCACCTTTGTGAGCAGGTGCATTGTCTTGATGAAAAATTATTTTGTGCTGCAAACCAGGTCTTTTCTCACGAAATTTTTCCATCCAGCTGAGTTGATTGTTTTACCTTTCTGCAGATAATCAATCAAGATTCCTTTTGCATCCCAAAAAACTGGTGCCATAACCTTCTTTGCTGATCGTTGTGACTTCACCCGCTTTGGAGCTGAACAACCAACTTCAGTCCGCTGTAAACGTTCTTGTTTCAATTTAGGATCATAGTGGTAGATCCAAGTCTCATCCATAGTTAACCTGAGACTCCTTATACACTTCTAACTGTTCATAAATTTCCTTTGCTTTTAAACCTTTCAAAACAAAGAATCTAATCACTCTTTTCATATTAAAAAAATACTCTGGCACGTCAACTTCAAATGGCTTGTAAACAAAGAATTAATTGACAGAATGACTCGTAATTTTGCATGTGTTTTCACGACAGAGTACCAACATGAGAAGCTAGAGAGCTAGTAGTGCTATTTCTTTTTACTTTGCGTCAGCTAAAATTATATTTAAATCATCTTACAATAAAATTTTGTACACCGCACATTTAATACATACATTATTAAATTAAACAAACTCTGTTCATAAATTATAGTTTTAATTTTTATAACCGCCTGAACTTGAATGGCAGTACTAAGTAGTATATTCAATATTATCGTTCACTTAATTGTTTCAAGTTATCCTACATATTGACCAATATCGACGGTATATAGCCAACCGAAAATTCTCATAGTAGCAGTTTTCAATATACCCGTACGTATAATCGTGGTGAGGTTGGTTATTATCTGATTACACTCGTTTTCGCGCCGTATGACCAATATATACGGTACATAGCCAAGCAGAAGTTTCAAATTCTTATAAGAGTAAGAAAGAGTAGTAATGATCGGGTTAATAGTTTTCAACATAACCTTTATATGGGCGGTGGGATTGTTTATCACCCCATTACACTTATTTTCACTATGTAGTATGATTATAATTTTGATAAACATAACTCTATGCATATGACGTGGCTATGGTCTAATTCCGCCGACATGCAATATAACTTTTCATAATCGCAAGGAACACGTGGATTAAGCTTCATCAATATAGTTCAATCCTTACTCATGTTATCGCTTGCTCGAACGAACGGACGGACAGACAGGCAGACATTCGGAATTCAACTTGTCTTGTCGTCTTCATCATTTTGATATACATAGCTCTATATTTATCTCGATCAGTTTTAGTTGTAACAAACAACTTAAAGTTAAATTCTACTCGGTGGCAGCATGTTTAAAGTTTATATAAAACTAGCAGATCAGTGCATATGCCATCCATGAGATTTGAACATCGAACTTTAATTATAATTTATATAATATATATTAAATATCGTACACAACCGCTTCGTAGGGAGCTAACTGGTCGATTGAGACGCACTGCACTTTATTTATGATACTGACTTCCCTGCCGTGGCCCAATGACACAACGCATATTGTGTTACAGCCTAGCCGAGCGGGTCGCCGCTCACTACGCGACCTTTTTCTAATACTTACATTTCTAAATTCGTGATATCTTTCAAATGGAATGTCCGAATCGAATAATTCAAAAAGTTATATAAAGGTACTGAATCAGTTTTGAATACGAAGTAATTAATTTTCATAAGGATTAATCCTAAGGTACAAATAAAAAGCTTTTACAAAGTCGGGATTTTCATTATTTTATTTAATAAAAGAACACTTACTTCAACGTAACTATGACAGTTATACATACTTGTATGTTATGCTGTCGCGACATTTTTTGTAGATAATTATGGGTGCGTTCGAGCTACGTAATAACTGCAGCTTTACAGCAACTGTGTTGCATATTTGCAGTTGATGTGCAGACAAAAACTTAGTGTTGCCGATTATTTGCATAAATTTCGTGCAAAAAGTGACAGTAGAACGTGATGCGGTTACAAGTGTTGCCAGAAAATCATGCAGAACGTGATACTTTGATAAATTTGCAACACGGCTGTCGTGATTGCCATCTCGAATGCACACTATATGTTCTGCAAAGTCATAGTAAATTTTTTTCTATAATCAATAGTATTCCCAGCGCACGCGATGTAAGGAATTCTTTAGGTAATTTTTTTAACCTTGGGTTACATTATTGGCGTTTTGGTAAGGATCCCTAACTTTTTTGAAAATATAATATAGCCTGTGTTCACCAGAGAGAGTGACGCTTCCCAACAGTTTTTCAAATCCGTCAAATGGTTTCGGAGCCTATTCAATTCAAGCAAACAAATAATCAAATCTTTTCTCTTTATAATATTTGTTTAGATGTGAGCTTATATGAAACGTTTACAAACACAATTATATTAAATTAACAAAAAGATATAATAGGGAAATGGACAAGAATATCTTGGCTATACAAAGAATGTGTTCACCGGAGAGAGTGTAGCTTCCCCACGGTTTTTCAAATCCGTCAAGTAGTTTCGGAGTCTATTCAATTCAAACAAACAAATTATCAAATATTTTCTCTTTAAAATGAGGTGAGCTTATATAAAATGTCTACCAACACAATTATATTAAATTAATGGAAAGTTATAATAGAGAAATGGACAGGAATTTATTGTCGATACAAAAAATACACATACAGCAACATCAGTTTTCATTTAATTTTGCTGGTCATAATACCAATACCAAATATTTCGCTATAAATAGCTAAAATGGAGTACTTGCAAAAAAAAAATAATAACGAAATATTAATTACAAAATGTTTTCATGGGCTTTAATTTCCGAAAGAAGGACATACATACATATGTATATGTGCGTAATAATCGACTAAATACAATTAAATATTATATAAGATGTTATTGGCTATGCAATGTCTTAGCTTTGACTTGTTGAAACCGAGATATAGATGTTACGATTTTTATCTTGGTTGTTTTGCGTAACCAAGTTGCTACTGACAACCGCCTGCTAGTGAAACTCAAGCGATAATGACCGTAGCAAAATTTATGTTATAAGTAACAACCAAGTAAAACGGTAGAGGTATAGTTACAGTAAGTATTCCAAATATGGCATAAAAATAGTTTGAACGGTAAGATATTTTAGAGACATAGAACTGTACAAGCAAAAGCATGTGTTGGACATTAGTTATCAGTAAATTTTAAAATTGCCATGTACAGGCTTACATTTTTAATGATTTAGGAATTTTATTTGCAAAATTCATGTTATAAACGTGTATCTTTTATTTACAGCTCTACTTTTTATAATTGACGGATCCATAAATAAACAAAATAATATATC